AGCTGGGCATTTACCTTATTTGAACCTGGTTTGAAGAGTTGGCTGCCTGTGTTGGCTGAAGTTTGGCTGCTGTGACTGGCTGAGACTCACTACTTGTTACAAGAGTAGGTTACAGTCCATTTTACATATCAAGTTGAGTTATAGTTTTTTATGTACTGGGAAACCTTTAGGGCAAACTTAAAATATGTAAGGAGGCAGCTTTAGGCCACACTAAATTTAACGTTTCCTCCTTTTGGTCAACCTCTCAATTTTGAGAGGATGATTAATTTTGAGGTTGCCCAAAACTTTAGGCATTGACATCACTTTTTATCATCATAAATAGAGTTATTTTGTCTCTAATCCCATTGGAAAATAGCAGAACACTGGGTTTTGTAAGGTGGGAACAAGGAAACAGAATAGGAAAAAAAAAAAAAAAAAAAAACGGATTGGTTAACATCAGATTACTTTTTTATTTTTTTTGAGATGGAGTCTCACCCTGTCATCCAGGCTAGAGAGCAGTGGCACGATCTTGGCTCACTGCAATCTCACCTCTCGGGTTCAAGTGATTCTCCTGCCTCAGCCTCCCGAGTAGCTGGGACTACACGCGTGTGCCACCACGCCCAGCTAATTTTTGTATTTTTAGTGGAGACAGGGTTTTGCCATGTTGGCCAGGCTAGTCTTGAGCTCCTGACCTCAGGTGATCCACCCGCCTTGGCTTTCCAAAGTGCTGGGATTACAGGCATGAGCCACTGTGTCCAGCCAAGATTAGTTTTTTGTAAGTAATCTGTTGTTACTTCGGATTACTTTTCTGTAAAGGATAGAGCAGAGGGGACTTCCTTATTATACTGGAATCTCCTGTTTTCAGGAGAAGAAAAAAAACTCGTCTATTTTGGGACCTGCTTTTTAAAGTTTTAGTTCAATTTTGTGGTGCTTAGCATGAGTGACTCCATTTTGGTTTGGTCTGGTCTACTTGGGACTAGTGCAGGAGCTCAGTCCAAAACAGTGGCCTCTGTTTAATACAGAAATTCAAATTTCAAACTTGTAGACATTCGATTTCTCTCTTGTTATATAAGTACCTACACAATGTCCTTAAATTTGCTTTTTGATCTGTAAAGACTAAGATATTTATCATCTAGTTTTACAGAAAAGTTTGCAGGTCTTCTGGTTTAAAAGAGCATGAGATTTAGTGTCAAGCAGATTTGGATTGAGCCCAAGGGCTGCCATTTACTGATTGTATGACTTTGAGCAAGGTATTTGTCTTTTCTAAGCCTCAATTTCCTCATTTATAAAATTGGCAAACAAATAGTATTTACCTTGGAGAGTTAAATGGGATAATGCATTTAATGTGCTTAAGGCAGTGCCTATCAGATGCTTAGAGGCTCAACACATTATTATTATTGTTATTGTTGTTTTAACCTAAAGTAAATGAGATGAAACAAAATAGCAAAGCTAAATGAGGAGGAATTTTTAAGTTACATCAGAAACTGTAATAGATCCTAAAATATTATAATGAAGAAATTTCATACTTATTTAAAACGGCATTTTAAATTTAACAATGAGAAAGCCTTACTCAGGATAGATAACCCTCTTATAAGTTAAAAAAAAAAAAAAAAAAAAAAAAAAAAGCCTAGCGCAGTGGCTCACGCCTGTAATCCCAGCTCTTTAGGAGACTGAGTAGACGGATCATGAAGTCAGGAGTTCAAGACCAGCCTGGCCAACATGGTGAAACCTCGTCTCTACTAAAAATACAAAAATTAGCCGGGCGTGGTGGTGGGATTAGTAGTAATCCCAGCTACTCAGGAGGCTGAGGCAGGAGAATCGCTTGAACCCGGGAGGCAGAGGTTTCAGTGAGCCAAGATCATGCCACTGCACTCCAGCCTGGGCAACAGAGCAAGACCCCATCTCGAAAAGAAAAAAGAAATAAAAATAAAAAGTCATGCCCAGCTATTTTGGGAGAACTGAAATTATAAATCTATCTGAGAAAATAAAATGATAGGACTCCACAGAATCCATGGATAAAAATTTGACTGAAGAGGAATATGGAACAGACTAAAAGAAAAATTTTATCAAGCTGTAATCTTTATACTTGTACCTAAGGCCAGAACTTGAAACTGCTAAAGACAGTGTTTCTCTACAAATGCACACAGGCACCCCATTTTGATGCACAGATAGGCCTTTATTTCCTTTAAGAATAGCAGCTTTATTGAGATAAATTTCACATATGATACAATTCACCAATTTAAAGTGTACAATTTAATGGTTTTCAGTATAATCAGAGTTGTATTACCATCACCATAATCAATTTTAGAACATTTTCATCACCGCCCAAAAACCATTGTAGTCTCTCCCCAGCCCTCCACTCCGGGAAACATTAATGTACTTTCTGTCTCCATAGATTTGCCTATTTTAGATATTTCATATAAATTTCATCAAATATTATACTCATTTGCACAAATATAAATAGCTTTTTTCACTTACCATAATGTTTTCAAGATTGATTAATTTTGTAGCAGGTATCAGTCCTTTTTCCTGTTTATTGCCAAATAATTTTCCATTGTATGGATAGATCATATTTTGTTTATCCATTTGTCATATTTTGGTTGTCTATCAGTTGATAGATATTTGTGGTGCATTTAATTTTTGGCCAATGTGTAAAACTTATTTTGCTCTGACTGAGGCTACATACTGTTACAATAATGCTATTAGGTCAACTTGACTGAGCTGACCTCACAGGTTACAGGTTGCTCATTGTTAGAGATGAGACTTTAGACCAGACTGGACAACATAATGAGACCCTGTCTCTACCAAAAAGAAAAACAAAAATTAGCCAGATGTAATGGCATATGACTGGAGTCCCAGCTACTTGGGAGCCTGAGGTGGGAGGATAACTTGAGCCCAGGAGTTTAGGACTGCAGTGAGCTGTGATCGTGCCAATGCACTCCATGCTGGGCGACGGAGTGAGACCCTGTCTCAAAAAACAGAAAGAAGGATTTTAGCATAACATTCAGCCAGTGCCATATTGGGAACCCACAAGAATGTACTTTAAAAAATATGTAAAAGAAGGTGGTGAGGGCTGTCATAGCTACTATTCAGGCAGTAATGCAGTGCTGAAAGGACATCAAGCAAATAGTGTGATGCCTGTGGGTGCAATGTTACTCCTTCCTTTAGGTTGTCAAAAAAAATCAATACTTCATAGCATTCCTGAAATGAAAAAGCTTGTGAACCATTGTGTTTAGGTTCACAATCTATTTTAGGCTGCCCATCACAGCTTTTCTCCTTTGGTAGAATAAAGTGAACCGAACCACCATGCCTAAGGTATTTGCCTCATTTCTTCCTCAGGTGGTTAATGATTACATTGTCAAAGCTGGCAAAGCATTCAAGTCCTGATTTCTCAGACTGAGTGTATGTGTGAATATATTATACTCATTTGCACAAATATAAACCCCCTGTCTTAACTGTGTTCTGCAAAAGGTGTGATAAATACCGCAAAGAAAACTTTCAAGTTATATATCCTTATCAGTAGAACTAATGGAATACACACAGTGTATTTTATGGGGAATTTCAGAGAAGGAAGGAAAAGTCAACCTTTTATTTGGCACCAGGATAGTAGTAAAACATTCTATTTGTGTATCAGATAGATTTTTATGACCTAACCTGGACAAGTAACTCTTGGTGCCTCATGTTTGAAAGAGGGATAACACTTCACAGGGTCATTCTAAGAATTAAATATTGTCAAAACACATGAAAACGTTCTCAATCTTGTTAGTAATCAAGGAAATGCAAATGAAGATCACAATGAAGTCTTCTTTTGTACTCAACTGATTGGTGAAAAATTAAGGCCTGATAATATTGACATACAGACCAATGAGATCTCTTATAATTTGCTGGGAAAATGTATCAATTTGTACAAAAATTTTGAAAAATAATTGTGCACTTCCTTGCAAAGTATAACATTTGAATAACCTAGGACCCAGCAATTCAACTCTTACACAGACTCCCAAGAGAAAGTTGCACACACATACATCAGGAAAAATGTTCGTAGCAGCCCTGATCATAAGAGCAAAACCTCGAACAATTGAGAGGAAATGAATAAATTGCCCTGTAGCCACACAATAGAATACAAGACAGCAGTGATGCTGAAAGATATAGCAAGCCTCAGGAGTTTATATAGTATAGGGATAATTTTATGAAGTTCAAAAACACCCAAAATTAAACAACATATTATCTAAGTACATACGTGATATATGTGATAAAACTAAAAAGAAAAGACGGAATGATTGGCAATCCAAAACCAATTCATGATTGTTGTTACTATCTTACAGGACAGGCTGTGGATTGGAAGCAGGGTTGGTGCACGCAGGTACATGTAACTCACTGGTAATGTTCTTAGGTTAGGGATCAGATCAAAGAAGTTCACTATAAATTTATATTAGAAAGGAGGGCTACTATGGATTAGTAATGAGAGTGTCATTAACCAGCAAATATAATTAATGAACTTAGGTTACCTGAGATCCAAATAAATAATGAGAAAAAAGTAAATAAAAGTGATGCATGAATACCAAAAATTTGGAATTACCTATATAATATGTAATAATAAAAAAAGAAAAAAGTGTCACTGGTTATCCTTCAGGTATAAAAATTACAATTAAAATTGTAATGTTATAATCTTCCATTCTTTCCCCTATGAATTAAAACTTTTTTTTTTAAAACGAGACTAAAAGGTCAGGTTGATAAAGTCTACGCCCTGTGGGAACTGGTTAGGTCAGGCTACCCATCCAGCAGCGGCACCTCCCAAGAGTTATTAGGCATGGCGGGGCCTCAGCCTACCCCTACCAGTCATAGTAGCATGGTCAGTAAGCTTATTAGGGCAGCGGCTGTACCTTCGGCAGGCAGGAGGCGTGAACCCGGAGGGGTCAGTGCGCCCTAAGGACTCTCCGCAGCTTCGCTCAGGTTCACAGAACACGCCCAGGGGCGTGTCCAGCGTCCGTCGGGGAAAGACCACCTCCCTGGGGGGTGCGGCTAAGGGAAGAGGCAGTTCTTGTCCAGAGCCCAGGTAATCGGGGCGGGATCAACTAGCGTCGCGGTGTGATGACGTCACGCCCGGGCCAGGCCTGGAGTGGCGTGCTGGGCGTGCGCGGCTGCGGTATGAAGTGTTGGTCCCAGCGGTTCAGCGGAGGTACGGAAGTGCTGTAGGCCGGAATGTTACCGACTGTCGGATCTGTGGATGAGGAAGAGGATCCTGCGGAGGAAGATTGTCCTGAATTGGTTCCCATTGAGACGAAGCAAAGCGAGGAGGAGGAAAAGTCTGGCCTCGGCGCCAAGATCCCAGTCACAATTATCACCGGGTATTTAGGTAACTAACCATCCCGGTCACAAAATGCCGTGAACTCTGGTGTCCTGAGATTTTGGGGGCTGCCGGTGCCTCTTCTCCTGAGGCATTGGGGCCTCATGATCAAGAGCAAATGGCTTTGAGGTAGGGGCTGGGTCACTTGCCCCTGGTATGGGTTCCCTCTCATCTTGGGAGTTTAGTAATGCCCGGTCCCCTCTGCGTTAGATTCCCATGTCTCAAGTGAGATCGAAATTAGCCTTTGAAACAAGGCTTTGAAGCTCAGACACGCCCCCCTGATTATCTCTGTGACCTCTTAGCAAGCTATCTTACTTTCCTGACGCTCATCCACCTCACCTGAAAATGGCAAAAATACCTGTCACCTGTGAAATAGGGCCGGAACCACCTACCTATTGCCACTAAAGGACGTCCCGTGTGTAAAATGCCCCACATGTGGGGCTTTCCTCAGTAGATTCCGCTTCCCCACGAGCCAAAGTCCTCCAGCCAGTTAGCGGGAAGTGCTCCTATCTCAAACACCTTTTTTTATTTTTTTATTTTTTTGAGGTCTGTTTGTAAACCGCTGCGTAGGAAGTAAGAATAAAATCTCTGTCCTCCAAGACTATTTCTCAAACTAAGAACGTTTATGAGTGTACAGGGATACTCGAAACCACAAGTTTGTGAACCTGGTAGTTTCGTGAAGGGCGGTTTATGCACTTACAGTAGAAATTTCTTACTGGAAAAGTTTGAGAAATATATTTTTAAACCTTACTGTTAAATAAAAGGGCTAGAACAAATGTATGACTGTATTAAAAGTTTGAAAAAAGTTAAGAAATGTAAATACAATGGTACTGTTTCAGAGAAATAATATTCCTAGGTGTTGCTAGAGACAGGTACAGACTTGGGCCACCTCATGACCTTTTATGTAAAAATACGAACTTTTTTTTTTTTTTTTTAACTTTGTAGACTGTAAGTTTATTCCCGTTTTTTGCTCGAAAGTAATTTCATAAAGGAATGGATTTTTGGCATTTCCCCAGTTATTCAGAGGCTGCTCTACTGAGAAGATGAACAAATTTCTTGTCCAAAACTATGTATTTCAAACGTGCCCCTCGGGCCTTTCCCATGTGTTGCTCACCGGTAGATCAGCTGATCATTGGAGAAAATGATCTGAAGCTCAGGAGTGAGGACTAATACCAGCAAACCTGTTGCTGAATCTAGGAATAGTTTCACTCCTATCACTGACCATTTTCCCTTTTTGAAGCACTGTTCCGTTGACTTCTATTACATTTTCCTTCTGATTTTTCCACCTGCTTCTCTGGCTTCTTTTTAAGGCTCCCTCCTCCTCCCCCTTTGTCCATCTTTAGCTACACATCTGTGTAATTTCTATTTTGATGTCCTACAACTTAAAGCTTAACATGTCTGAAACTTCATCCGTTACCATCCCCCCAAATCCTGCTCCTGTGATCCCAACCATTTGGAATACTCTAAAAGCCTCCTGACTAATCTGGAGTCTTGTTGCCCTTTAATTTATTCCTTGCCTTAATTAGCCTTAATGATCTTTATGTCGGTCCGATTGCGTCACACCTTTCAGTGGCGTCCATATGGGTTAAAGTTCAAATTCCTTAACATGAATTACAAGGACCTGTAGGATCTGGATCTTGCCAACCTTTCCAGCCTGCCAAATTGGCCCTGCACAATGAACTAATGTTACTTCAAAGATGCCAAGTATTTTTGCCCCTTGGAATAGGTACCTTTTTACTGTGACTCCTCTGGCTAGATGTCCCTTTTAGGTTCTCCATAGCATTTCGTACATCTCCTATTGAATATGTCATCCTGTGACAGAATTGCCTCCTTATTCACTGAATTCCCCTCCATTCCCCGCTTCCCTTGATATTTCTAAGCTCTGTGAAGGCAGAGGCTGTCTTGTTCACTTTTTCACAAGGCCCAGCATAAATCTGTTACATATTAGAAACCTTGGAATGAATGAACTATGTCTTAAAGTGTTTTTCTTCATAATATGGTTAAAAAGCCCTAATAAGTCTTCTCTTAGGAGATTTCTTACATTCACCCTTTCCTTTCAGTTTTCACATCAGTGCCATGTGAAACACTCATGTTCAGGGCCTCTGTCTCAATCTTGGACTGATTTTAAGATTTTTCTCATTGCCCAAAGTCTCTCTCTTCCATTCTATACTTCATACTTTTGTGATGTTGAGCCTCCTAAAGTACTCTAAATGTAAGCCTCCATCTCTTAAAAAGCTTTGAAAGGAATATGACCTCAAAGATATTAATACCCTAGTACTTTGTAAAATCTTCCTAGTTATAGGAAGATCTAGTTGTATACTAGAAAACTTAATATATTTCAGAAGACATGTATATCACCAACATGTAAAAGTTTTTAGCAGCACTGTAATAGTAAAAGACTGGAAATGATGTCTAACAAAAAAAGATAAAGAAATGATATAGTCATACAATTGAACTACAATACTATGCAGTTAGGGTTTTATTTTTTTCCTCTATGAACTTTAGTGTGTATGGTTCACAAGACTCTTCTACTCAAGATTGACATATTAGGTTTCACATGCCACCTGCTGGATAAAGTTGGTATAGCTCTATGAATTTATCTTTACTGAACATTCTGTCCGTTGTTGACACTACCTGCCTCTATTTCTTATTTCATAAAAAGTTTTATAGATTGTTTAAAGCATACTATAAGTAGCCATATACTCAGCCTGAATTTGCCTCTGGTTAATGTTGAAATAAAAGGTCATTATAAATAAAAGATCATTGTGTGTAAATTTTAGGAAACGTTAGGCTAGGTTGAAGAAACTTTCAACTTGTAGGAGTATTTGTAAATATTTATAAAATTGTATGTCTACATAAAGTATTTTGCAATAGGTTTCAAAGGGTGCTTTAATCTTATCCTCTAGGATGTTCTATACTGTACTTAAATAATATATGAAAAATAGCATGCAAATTCTCAAAAACATTAGGATTCTTTATATCTTTTTCATATCTTTAAAATTATTTTGAATTTTTTATTTACAAAAAATGTTTTGTAGGTGCTGGGAAGACAACACTTCTGAACTATATTTTGACAGAGCAACATAGTAAAAGAGTAGCAGTCATTTTAAATGAATTTGGGGAAGGTAAGTAAAGTTCAATAAATGTCATGTTGCAAGATTTTATGTGACTTTCTTCCTCTGGTGAGTTGATATCCCATGTTTAAAAATGAAAATGCAAGGTATTATACTGATGTGGATAGCTTTGTAAAAATTAGATTAATTTCTGTTAAGATTTATATGGGTTGAAAATACTGAAATTAGTTTTAATAAAATTTTATTTTGTGTAACTTTGGAATTCTTATTAATAGAATTAAACTAGATTTTTACATGAAATAAATGACTCCAGAAGTAAAAATCTAGACATATGAAAAAACGGTGTTTTTTTATTTTTATTTTTATTTTTGAGATGGAGTCTCTCTGTGTCGCCAGGCTGGAGTGCAGTGGCACAGTCTCAGCTCACTGCCACTTCTGTCTCCTGGGTTCAAGCGATTGTCCTGCCTCAGCCTCCCGAGTAGCTGGGATTACAGGCGCGCGCCACCACACCCAGATAATTTTTGTATTTTTAGTAGAGATGGGGTTTCACCATGTTGTCCAGGATGGTCTTGAGCTCCTGGCCTCATAATCTGCCTGCCTCGGCCTCCCAAAGTGCTGGGATTATAGGCGTGAGCTACCACGCCCAGCCAAAAAATGTTTTTTTTAGGAACTAGAAAGACACTTCTGTATGGACTTTATTGCAACTCATGAAAAATATTTGAAAATGCTTCTAAGTTTACTTTAATGTTTATTATCTGCAATGCAGTTAAAACTCAAGATTTTAAAAATAAGATAAACATATGGTCTTTATGCTCATGTATCTTAAATTATCTGTGAAAATAAGTGTGCTTAGCTTCTCAACTCAAATATTAAACTGTAGTTAAAAAAATAGTGCTAGACACAATACTTCTATTCTTTATAGGAGTTTTTCTTCATAAGTATGAATTGTAATCAAAGCTCACTTCTAGCCAAAAAACAATATCTATTAAACAATTTCTTTTAAAGCGTACTATTTTTTTCAGTTGTAAAAAGTAAAAAAGCTAGGTTTTATGAACAGGATGGGAAACCTGTTATATTCGATTTCTAGTTTTAATAAACTATAGAGAAAAGTGCTTTTTAGGCAAAAATCCTGAGATTTCTAATAACAGACTGTTTTTTTCCATCATCTTATTAAATAACCTATTGCACACTGATTACATTTATTCTTACTGTTTTATTTTTTCCTGGATCATTTTCTCAATTTTATTTTTCACGGCATTCTTAACACTTTCCTTCATGTTTCATTAATGTTTTGTATGTAGTCTGAATTCTGTAGCAACCCCTTTAGAAGCTCTTTATTAATACCTAGCTGAAATATGATAAAAACTATGGAAGTGTAAAACTACTCAATTTTATGGGGGCTCATTTGCTTACTGGACTTTTAGAACTCTTCACCGTTGGTATATTTCTTTATTAGAGGAAAAGTAAAACATTTAAAATAATTCTTATAGATAACAAGCATTTCAAATATAGTTTATTCTTTCTTAAGTAAGTATTGCTAGGAAAATATGTGAATTTAACTAAAAGTTTAATTTTTTTTTTTTGTTGAGATTGGGGAGTCTCGCTCTGTCACCCAAGCTGTTGCCCAGGCTGGAGTGCAGTGGCACAGTCTTGGCTCACTGCAACCTCCGCCTCCCGGGTTCAAACAGTTCTCCTGTCGCAGCCTCCCCAGTACCTGGGACTACAGGCACCCGCCACCACGTCTGGCTAATTTCTGTATTTTTAGTAGACATGGGGTTTCCCCATGTTGGCTAGGCTGGTCTCGAACTCCTGACCTCAGATGATCTGCCCGCCTCGGCCTCCCAAAGTGCTGGAATTACAGGCGTGAGCCACAGCACCCGGCCTATTGTTTAATTTTCTTTTTTTTTTTTTTTGGAGTCTCGCTCTGTCGCCCAGGCTGGAGTGTAGTGGTGCCAGCGATCTCAGCTCATTGCATGCTCCGCCTCCCGGGTTCACGCCATTCTCCTGCCTCAGCCTCCCAAGTAGCTGAGACTACAGGCACCCCCCACCATGTCCGGCTAATTTTTTGTAGTTTTAGTAGAGACGGGGTTTCACCGTGTTATCCAGGATGATCTCCATCTCCTGACCTCGTGATCCGCCTGCCTCGGCCTCCCTATAAGTTTAATTTTTAAATGAGCACATGATACACTGGCCAAAAACCTTCCTCAAGATGAACTAGGGGTTTTTACTCATTGGCAATATTCAGCCATTTGTCTAACAGAAACAATTTAGAAGAGTGAAAAGAAAAAGATAGATAAGGCAATCTCTTAAGAGGTTGAAGGGCATACAAAGTCCAGTATATAAAACATACTAGTTTATTTAGAAAGTTTACCCTGAACAAGAATAAAATGCCTTCAAGATAGCTACTTTATTAAGAAATGGGGGTGGCCAAGTAAGAGGCCTGAGAAGAAAGTAGGTATGTTTATCAGTTTAGGATGTGTCTTTTTAAGGGCTTAAGTCATCTTAAATAAAAGCTAAAATAGTGTACTGTAATTTAGATATCGAGACTGCATGAATAAAATGAAAAAATATGTTATAAAATTCTGTTTCTGCTTTAAGATCTCCATTACTGAGTTATCCTTATCTTTGTTTTTTGTTGGCTAATGAACATAAGGTAAAGAGTGCTGTTTGTTAATTATTCTAGGAAGTGCACTGGAGAAATCCTTAGCTGTCAGCCAAGGTGGAGAGCTCTATGAAGAGTGGCTGGAACTTAGAAACGGTTGCCTCTGCTGTTCAGTGAAGTGAGGAATGTGTTTACTATGTCTATGGTTTACTAGAAATGTTTAGATTATATTTCCAGCTTTAATTTTCTTGAGTAATTTAACTGAATTTACACAGTTTGCTTCATTGTATTTTTTAACAAATAGAAAGTTTATAGAAAATAAACTTATTAGGAAGCATTTTCTTAAAGTGTTTCTTGCTGTCTTTTCTATCTGCTCAAATGTTTTGGTCCTTTTATTGAGTTTTTATTGCTTTTGATGTCAGGGCTTATTTAATTAATCTCTAGTGCATGAAAGTCTCCTATGTAAAAAATGATTATTCTGAATTAATACGTCATTGGTCATATTTCCAAGTGTTCAACCTTATAAAAACAAAAAGTAAATGACTGTCAAAAAAGAGAAAAACCTTACATTATGTTCCACTAGTTAAGTTTCCAAGAACAGTGTCTGTTCACTAGTCTACCATAGACCCTATAAGAGTTACCCAACACATAGTAGCACTCAAGTATTTGTTGAATGAATTATAAAAATGATTGCTTGTATTGTTAATTTTGTGTATTCTAGTGAATTAAATCTCTTCGGCATCATTTACCCCCTTAGGTATTTGACTTTGTTTCAAATGTATTGGCAAGGATGAAATTATAACAGACTCTTGAACAACCAAAATGTAATCTATTAAGTATTTTCCTTCAGTTTTGATAAAATAAGAAAAAAGGGAAATTAAAACCTTGTATCCTAATGCAAAATAGAATTAAGTGGTATATAATATCCGTGTCCCTTTAGCTATTATATTAAACTACTATAGTTAATAAATTTTATCATTATTTTGAATATTGGTTTTTTAAAATTTCATAAAGCTATAAAAAGATACTGACTTGGTCAGATAAAGTTTCCTCTGCTTTTAATTTTAATAAAGTATTATTATGTATATGATTTCTTTTTACCTATTATATATATGCATCTATTGTTTTGTCACTGGTAAATATGGGACAGACATTTTGTTAGGTTAGTAGTGAGTTAAATTTTCACATTCCTAAGGATACTTTTGTCTCTAGTTGTTGAATATATTTTAAAATGTGTATAATAATCACTTCAAAATATTTAGGTAATCAACTGTAAATTATGTTTTGGTATTCTCCAGGGACAATGGCCTTAGAGCCATTGAGAATTTGATGCAGAAGAAGGGGAAATTTGATTACATACTGTTAGAGACCACTGGATTAGCAGATCCTGGTAAGAAGTGAGATTATTAATAACCAGAATATATAGTTCTGTGATATATTATAAATAGATGTATTAGAGAAATATCTAAAATGAGTATTAAAGCTTTCCTTAGGGTTAAAACTTTTTTTGGTTTAAAAGAGGAAAAGTACTCGGTTGTCATCTTCTCTGGCAGATGAATGAATGCTCAGAGTACTGCTTGGTACTTTTAAGCTGTTAATAGAATTTGAAGTTTTATTGATTGACTTAGGATTATTTGTAAGAACAGAAGTTGTTAAAAATAGGACATGCAGGAAAAGCAGAGACGTTCTACCTCTGAGTACAGTTGTCCCTTGGCATCCATGGGATATTAGTTCCAGGACCTCTGAGGATACCAAAATCTGAATGTTCAAGTCCCTTGTATAAAATGGTGTAGTATTTGCCTATAACCTATGCACATCCTCCCATATACTTTAAATCATCTGTAGATTACTTATAATACCTAATACAATGTAAGTGCTGTGTAAGTAGTTATTAGACTGCATTGATAAGGGAATCATGACAAGAAACTCTAAACTCTACTATGGAAAGCTACAGAGTCAACCTGTTTCTAACAATGGGTTTCTGTTACCTTCTTACCAAGCTCCAATTCTTGATAAAATCTGCTTATTTCCCCAAATAACTTTTAGATAAAATCTTTATTTTCAGTTTGCATAACAGTTAGTGCTTGTTCTGTGAATCTCACCCATACCATTATTATTTTTTTTTAATCTGGGTCTCTGGCATTGGGGCAATTTGTGAAACTCCATTAAAGTATTTGGGGGTAATTTACTAACAGGTCATAGTTGTCCAAAAGAAATACTGAAGTATCCTGAGGGTTCAGATGTGATCAGTGGTTATTGTACTTAAAACAATTACATAATAACATCATCCCCATGTTTACAAAGTAGTATTGAATTAGGCTATTTTGGTTCTTATAGTAGGCATGGGTTTTTCATACCTTTCTGATAAATCTGAGTGATGGTAGGACTTGGACTAATATGTTGGTGTTAAATATTATTTGAATCTGGTAAGAAAGAAAAGTATATTGTATGCTTTTTATTAGAAATAGCAAATATCAGTTTATTTCATCATAGCCAGTTTTGCCACTTTATAGACAAAAACTCGATACTTTTGAGAGAGTTTAATTAAACACGATTCAGCTTTTCAGAGGAAGAAAGAAAAACTAAAGGTCACAGAGAAAGCTTTTCTACAAAATGTAGTTATAAAAAATGTTAATGTTTCCTGCTTTTAACTTTCTTTACAATAATGATGTTATTGTTTGGGTAAAGATGGAACATTCATTGTAAAAAAAATTTAAATACCTAAAAAATACAAAGAAGAAAGTTGAAAAGTAATCATCTCACTATTGTGATATACAAATAGGGGCTGGGCATGGTGGCTCATACCTGTAATCCCAGCACTTTGGGAGGCCAAGGCAGGTGGATCCCTTGAGGCCAGGAGTTCAACACCAGCCTAGCCAACATGGTGAAATCCAATCTCTACTGAAAATGCAAAAACTAGCCAGGTGGTGTGGCGCAGGCCCTAATCCCAGCTACTCAGGAGGCTAAGGCACGAGAATGCTTGAAAGCTGGGAGGCGGAGGTTGCAGTGAGCCGAGATCACACCACTGCACTCCAGTCCGGGCGACAGAGCAAGACTGTCTATATATGTATATACATATATATATACACACACACACACACATACACACACACACAAGTAGGTAAATTTTATTCCGGGGATCTCTCTATGCCAGTGCTACTTGGTAGTATGTTGAATGGCCGGCAGCCTCAGCCTCAGCTGGGAGCTTGTTAGAAACGCAAATTCTTGGCCGGGCGCAGTGGCTCAAGCCTGTAATCCCAGCACTTTGGGAGGGCGAGACGGGCGGATCACGAGGTCAGGAGATTGAGACCATCCTGGCTAACACGGTGAAACCCCGTCTCTACTAAAAAATACAAAAAACTAGCTGGGCGAGGTGGTGGGCGCCTGTAGTCCCAGCTACTCAGGAGGCTGAGGCAGGAGAATGGCGTGAACCCGGGAGGCGGAGCTTGCAGTGAGCTGAGATCCGGCCACTGCACTCCAGCCTGGGGTACAGAGCGAGACTCCATCTCAAAAAAAAAAAAAAAGAAAAGAAAGAAAGAAACACAAATTCTTGACCTCCAACCCAGATCTACTGAATCTGAATCTCTAAGGGAGGGGGTCCAGCAAGCTGTTTTAATAAGCCCTTCAGGTGATTCTTATACTGTACGGCCATACCACAGGAATATTGTGGGCTTAGTTCCACATCACTACAGTAAACTGAATATCACAATAGAGTAACACACGTTTTTGTTTCCCATTGGATATAAAAGTTATACGTTTTGGCCTGTAGTCCCAGCTACTTGGGAGGATCACTTGAGCTCAGGAGTTTCAGGCTGCAGTGAGTCGTGATTGTACCACTGCACTCCAGCCTGGATGACAGCATGAGACCCCATCTCTTTAAAAAAAAAAAAAAAAAAAAAAGCTGTGTTTATACTATACTGTAGTCTGTTAAATGTGTAATAGAATTGTCTAAAAAACATACCTTAATTAAAAATATTTATTGCTAAAAAATGCTAACAATCATCTCAGCTTTCAGCAAGTCATAATCTTTTTGCTGGTAGAGGGTCTTGCTACAATTTAGGGTGCTGACCAATCAGGGTAGTGGTTACTGAAGGTTGGGGTGGCTGTGGCAATTTCATAAGATAATAATGCAGTTTGCTGCATTAGTTGACTCTCCCTTTCGTAAAAGATGTCTCTTTAGCACATGATGCTATTTGATAGCATTTTACCCACCGTATAACTTCCTTCAAAATTGGAGTCAGTCCTCTCAAACCCTGCTTTATCAATTAAACTCCTGTCATATTTTAAATCCTTTGTTGTCATTTTGACAGTGTTCATAGCATCTTCACCAGGAGTAGATTCCATCTCAAGAAACCACGTTTTTTTTACCCGTCCCTAAGAAACAACTTCTCATTAGTTAAAATTTTCTTATGAGATTGCAGGAATTGAGTCACATCTTCAGACTCCCCTTCTAATTCTAGTTCTTTTGCTGTTTCCATCACATCTGCAGTTATTTCTTCCACTGAAGTCTGGAATCCCTTAAAATCATCTGTGAGGGCTGGAATCATCTTTCAAACTCCTATTCATGTTGATATTTTGATCTCCCATGAATCACAAATGTTCTTAATGGCATCTAGAATGATGAATCCTTTCCAGAAGGTTTTCAATTTACTTTGCCCAGATCCATCAGAAGAATCACTGTCTATGGCAGCTATAGCCTTATGAAATATATTTCTTAAATAAGACTTGAAAGTCAAAGTTACTCCTCGATCAATGGGCTGCAGAATGGATGTTGTGTTAGCAGGCATGAAAACAACATTAATCTCCTTGTACATCTCCATCACAGCTCTTGGATGATCAGGTGCGTTGTCAATGAGCAATAATATTTTGAAGGAATCTTTTTTTTTCCTAAGCAGTAGATCTCAATGGTGGGCTTAAAATAAGCCATGCTGTAAACAGTAAACCATGCTGTAAATAGATGTGCTGTCATCTAGGCTTTATTATAGAAAACAGGCAGAGGAGATTTAGCATAATTCTTAACGGCCCTAGGATTTTCAGGATGGTAAATGACTATTGGCTTCAACTTGAAGTCACCAGCTGCTTTAGCCTCTAACAAGAGGGTCAGCCTGTCCTTTGAATCTTTGAAGCTAGGCATTGACTTCTCTTTAGCTATGAAAGTCCTAAATGGCATCTTCTTCCAAAAGGAGTCCATTTAATCTCCGTTAAAAATCTGTTGCTGGCCAGGTGCGGTGGGTCACGCCTGTAATCTCGGCACTTTGGGAAGCCAAGGTGGGCAGATCACGAGTTCAGGAGTTTGAAACCAGCCTGGCCAACATAGAGAAACCCCAGCTCTACTAAAAATACCAAAAATTAACCTGGCGTGGTGGTGGGCGCCTATAATCCCAGCTAATCGGGAGGCTGAGGCAGGAGAATGGCTTGAACCTAGGAGGCGGAAGTGGCAGTGAGCCGAGATTGAGCCATTGCACTCCAGCCTGGGCGACAGAGTGAGACTCCATCTCAAATCAATCAATCAATCAATCTGTTGCTTACTGTAGCTACTTTCATGAATGATGTTAGCTACATCTTCTAGGTAACTTACTGCAGCTTCTATGTCAGCACTTGCTGCTTTCCCTTGCACTTTTATGTTATGGACATGACTTCTTTCCTTAAATCTTGTGAACCGATCTCTGCTACCTTCCAACTTTTCTTCTCCAGCTTCCTCACCTCTCTCAGCCTTCATAGAACTGAAGAGAGTTAGGGTTGATCTGAATTAGGCTTTGGCTTAAGGAATGTTGTGGCTTGTTTGATCATCTATCCAGACCACTTCATATCAGCAATAAGGCTGTTTTATTATCATTTGTGTGTTTACTGGAGTAGCACTTTTAATTTCCTTCAAGAACTTTTCCTTTGCATTCACAAGTTGGCTAACTGGCTCAAGAGACCTAGCTTTTGGCCTCTCTTGGCTCTCAACATAACTTCCACACTAAGCATGACCATTTCTAGCTCTTGATTTAAAGTGAGAAACAGGTGACTGTTCCTTTCACTTGAACACTTAGGGGCCATTGTAGTGTATTAATTGGCCTAGTTTCATGTTGATCATATTCTTTATGTTGTCATGGTTCTGTCATAATTCTTTAATTCTATGTTTTATTAGTTTTGGTGCTCATTACCAGTACTGTTGCTTCTCCATTTCTGAGTTAGTCCACCTCCTGATTGAATTTCATTGTCAGGCAATCTTTTCAAGTTATAGGTACAGCATTCTTTGGGTTCTTACACACTTCATTGATTGAAAATATTTGTCTTTTGTTTTTATATTATTTGAAGGATTACTTGGCTGGGTATAAAATTTATCAGTCACACTTTTTTCCCCCTCAACTTTGTAAATGTTGTTCCATAATCTCCTAGTGTTTGATTAGCTAGATTTCTTTGTCCAATGTTTTCTCCTTTTATTAGGAAGAATTTGTGAGTCTCTGAGTTTCAATGCTTGCTGTTTTCTTTAATGCTTAAGAATGTCTGCCTATTGCTTTCATTCCTGAAAAATAACTTGGCAGGAGGTAATTTTGTTTGGGAACACTTTCATTAGAACTTTGTGGTCACTGTTTTATTATTTTGGGACATCTAGTGTTACTGTAGAAAAGTCTGATTTTTCCCCCTCCCTCCTTGAAGGCGCTTGTTTTTTTTTTTGTTGTTGTTGTTGTTGTTTTAAATCTAGAATGCCTGAGAGTTTTTTCTTTATTTTTGAAATTCAGTAATATAAACAAGATATATCTAAGTGTCACTTATAATCATTTTTTCCTGTTGCCCTTAGTTCTTCTAAGAACATTTTCCTTGTTTATTACCATGAATACTTTTTTTTGGTCAAATTATTGGATCCTCTACTTCATGACACCAGTTTTTTAATACTGAAATTTCTTTTGTTCTCCATATGTATTCTAATTGCTTTGATTTGTCTTTTACCTTTGCATTTACTGTGATCATCTGAAGTCTCTCTTTTTGTCAATAATTCTGTTTTCTCCAGTGTCTGTTCTGTTTTTGATATTTTAAATAAATTAATTGGTTAAGTCATTGTGTTATATAGGCTTTAAGTTTCTTTAGCACTACAAACGCATTTTCATCTTATTCTGCTTCTTCTTGCTTTTGAGCTTGTTTTTATAGGGTTGTATTGTTTTTAAGTTCTTTATTATGATGAAGTTGCTGAGAATTTTCTTTAGTTTTTTTTGGGTTATGTATCCTTCCAGAGTGGGTTCTTTGCCCCTTGTGTGCCCTATTCATTTCTTCATTTTTTGTTCTTTCTTGCCTTTTATTCCCTGTATGTGTGTGTTTCTTTTTGTCAGGCTGTAATACATATGCATACATGTTTCTTCTTGATATCAGAGAACTTATATGTGGTGCTGATGGGAAATATTTGTAATACTCCACTCTCCTTACCCAAGTTTATTTTTCTCCTGAACCCTAGTTTGAAAGCTATATATTGTTGGAGTGGAGGGAAAGAGAAGGGAAAAGTGGTGATTGAGAGAGCCAGATGGGGCAATGTGGCTTTTAGGCTCTGCTCTCTTGAAGTACCGAGTATTTCCCTCTTGGGTCTACCCAACTGCTTATGAATAAAATTCCTATGCCTTGTATGGGGACATCATTCGGCCTCAGACCTCTCATTTCTGTTTGCTCTGAGCCCTAGAATTGACCTGACCTTCTCCTTCCCAAAGCATGGAGATGGTTAAAACTTACTCTGGACATTTTTTTGTTGACTTTTCCCTGTATTGCTTATTCATTCCTTGGCTCTACTTTTTGCCATTTTGGAATGTATTTCTGGTAAGTGTTTAGGATTTTGTAAACTATTTCCCTACAACCTCTTATTGGAGGTCGGGGTAGAGTTGGGAATGACCATCAATCACACATAACTTTGTTTCTTATTTTGACTATCAGGCTTCAAAATTTTTGGCAGGCCCTTTTATATTTGGTTGTTGCTAATAAAATGTTGGCCTTTTTGTTTTATTTTTTATTTTTATTTTTTGTTTTATTAGATTTTGAAGAAGGGAGATTCTAAAATCTAGTTCAGGTTTTCTCAACGTCAGCACAAATAACTTTGGGTTGGATAATTATTTGTTGTGAGGAGGTTGCCCTGTGCAGAGTAGGATATTTAACAACATCCCTGGCTTCTACCCGCTAGATGCCAGTAGTATTCCCCTAGTTAAGACAACCAAAAACATCTTCAGACATTGCAAAATATTCCCTGGGGAGAAAAGCACCCTGGTTTGAGAGCCATTGATCAATTTCGTTCATTCATCTTTACTCCTGCTCCTAAATACCTACATCCAAATTTTAAGTAGATCTTTCTTGTATAGTCTGGCAAGTATTATATCAAAGATAAATACCAGTTTTACAGTAAAGCATTAATACACTCTTACACTTCAACTTAAGAGGCAAATATTAACAGTAGGATTTATGAACTATTTATTAGAATAAAAATCAATGAATTTTTTAGAATTACAAAATGATTTATGTGTGTTAGATATTTTACTGAGTGAAAAAAAATAATGCTTTTTTAAATGACTTATTGTTTGGAGTAATGATATAGTAGATTTAATTCTTCCCCCTCATTAATTAAAATCGTGTTTTAGTCAAGAAAGTGAACAAAATTCTTATTGGCAATTCAGTTGTTTCCCGTTTCGGAGACTGACACTCTCCAGTTCTCAGTTAAATAATTGTCATGGTAAAGTAATTTCCTTGAAAAGAACGGACATTGATTCAGCCCCTGTTACTCGCAAATCCTATTTGAGTCAAATTGGAAAACTATTAAGTTTTTGGGAAAAAAATCAATAGGTATCAGGAAACCATTAGATCTTGTGGCCCTTGCTATATCTTGCATGAGTAATCACTGTAAACAGCTGACAGGTATTTCATTGTTGACACAGAGTGATGCTTGAGGGACCACATCTTGTCAGAGTAGGTGGACAGCTTTAGACATTGGAATGAGTTTGGTTATCCTTGTTTTTCTCCTACACTCATTCTTTTAGACAGCCCTGTCACTAACTGGGCCTATGATGCTTTGAAAAATTACATACTTTCCTTGCTGTCAGTTTTCTTTTTCTTGTGTTATGGCATACTAATCAGGGTATGTGGTTTGGTACTGAACCAGTTTCTGTCAAAAACAAGTTTTAATTTATTATTTAGGAATAGTTTTTCCTCAGACCCAGGTTTTTATACAGTACTAAATAAATAGTGTGAGAAATAATTAGTAATGCCATAGAGTATATAATTTTACTTCTAGTTCTACACAGATTACAAGTAAATTTTTTTTGGACAAGTGATTTTGGAATTATCTATATTTTGTTTTCCTTTTCCTTTAGAGTGATAATTCACTGTTTATGATCTGAATGATTATCATATTAAAGAGATGAGAAAATAAAAATAAGTCTGATGTGCACAAAGCCATACTGCTCAAATTGTTTGATAATATCTGTTATTATTATGGCATCGGTAGAAGAATGATGTTTTGTTTATATGTGGTAAAAGTTAGTCTTTTTTAAAGGAAATAACAAGAGGGATAGAAATGGAATGGGTATAAATAGTAAAAGGTTCTATCGCTATAATTCCCTTTTGCTAGAAATAGTTAAAGTTTCTATCACTATAATTTCCATAAGAAGATATATGTGTTTACCTGTTAATTTCATCAGGGCAAATTAAAACATGGATAGAATCATGTTTCTCAGTGTTAAGAAATATTTTTATTTGATGAATATTATATATTTTCAGGTGCAGTGGCTTCTATGTTTTGGGTTGATGCTGAATTAGGGAGTGATATTTATCTTGATGGTAAGTTAAAAAACAATTTTCTTTTTTCTTGTTTTTTTTTGAGACAGAGTCTTGCTTTGTTTCCCAGACTGGAGTGCAGTGGCATGATCTCAGCTTGCTGCTACCTCTGCCTTCCGGATTCAAGCAATTCTCCTGCCTCAGCCTCCCGAGTAGCTGGCGCGCCATTGTGCCTGGCTAATTTTTGGATTTTTAGTAGAGACGGGGTTTCACCATTTTCGCCTGACTGGTCTTGAACTCCTGACCTCAGGTGATCCGCCAGCCTCGGCCTCCCAAAGTGCTGGGATTACAGGCGTGAGCCAACACACCCTGCCTCTTTGTTTTTAAGAAAAATCTTTATGGTTAAGCTTATTGTTGTTCATTCATATTATAACTTTAATTCCTTGCATTGTTGTTCTTTTCACACTTTAGTTTAATGATGAAGTCTTTGTTCATATAGATTAAAAAACCCCAGACAGTGGTGGAACTGGATGTCACTCAACTCCCAATTTGGTGCTTCTGCTAAGGTTTTCTTTAAAAAAAAAAAAAAAAAAAAAAAAAAGGATTTTCTGTATCCTCTGTTGTTTGATTTCTGTACTTACTATAATGTTAGAGTCTTTTATTTTAATCTGCCAGGCAATATGAAGATCATATTTTTGCTCTTATTTTCTCTTGAAGATAAGAATTAAATACTCCTCCCTTACTTTATTTACCTTAACACTTTTGGGCAGTCTACTTTATAAACTTATAAATGATATGCCTTCATTTAAAATAGAAGCTTTCTTAGTTAAGCAACTATGTTTTCTCCCTTTCTCTTTCCCTTTTTCACGTTTTTAAAAACCAGTCTTTTTCTTACTTTTTCAAAACTAAGAACCATTAAGAAATTTAAGAATTATTAAATGGGCCCCATCATTGAGCTCTAATATATATGGCGTGTAACTGGTTGAATTCCTTAGGCATAATTAAACTCATTCTGTTGTTATCAGCATGTATTCAGAGATTGCTAAATGAATCGGTAGTCTGGAAACTTAGGCATATGTTATGTAAAACATTTTTATGAGTTGGATTTGGATTTGGTGAGAGATGTTAGGAATGATATCCTAAGATGTCTCATTATTTAGGCAATAATTTAAATGTTAAGAAAATCTTGATTTTGATTATGTGAAAATAAACTAGAAATAACCTGTCTTAAGTACTTACCACATTTGACCATGTTATGAAATTTGACTTATATTTTGGATTGTAAGCTTTCTCAGTGCCAAGGAAATCTTATTTTCATATTTATTTAATTTAAAATTTTTATGTGTTTGATATCTTCTCTAGTGCCTTAAAATAATTCTAGCCACTCAGTACATATTTGAAATGCATTGACTTATTACTGGAATTTAGTTAAATGGCAGCACTGGCAAGAGAAAAACAGCACATTGTTTTATTGAGTAGCATTTGTGAACTGAAATAGGTTAGTTTTAATTTTCATTCTCAAGTATGGTTGCACAAATATTAATAAACACTTTTTTTAAAAAAAAGGTGATTAAAATGTTTTTTCCTTTGTAGGTATCATAACTATTGTGGATTCAAAATATGGGTTAAAAGTAAGTTGAAAGATTGCTATGAGTGGCTCATTGTTGAGAGCTAGGAATATGGGGGTTGATTGTTTAATTTTCTTTATGTTTGTATCTGAAATTTTCTTTAACAAAAACCTTCTTCAAAAATATACCCTGAACAATAGGTGAAATTTGTGTTTTAATTACTAGTTCCTGTTAAATATTTCTTGTCTATTACTCTGAGTTTGATTTGGTGATAAAATTTGGAATTATAATTTGTAATAAGCATATGGGGTTAGGATAGAGTTTAGTATATATAACTCTTCACAAGGATTCAACCCCAATATTGATAAGTTTTTCTGTTCCATAGAAGAAACTGAGATTGATAAAGCATCTGAGATCTTATTTTTCTTGTTAAATTGCTATTAAACATACACAGGAAATGAGTTTTTTAAAAATATTGAAGACCTAGGTGATGGGTTAATAGGTGCAGCAAACCACCATGGCACACGTTTACGTATGTAACAAACCTGCATATCCTGAACATGTACCCTGGAACTTAAAATTTAAAAACTACATATTGAAGAAAATTAGGATATATACGTAGGATTAGTAAGAAGACTCTGTCCATTAAAAGGCGTCTTGCATCGCTTCTTGGTCTTTTGGCTAAGATCAAGTGTAAAAGACATCCTGCTATGAATGTTTTTGTTAACTTCTAAGGTCCTTAAATGCATTTAAATGAAGTTTAATTTATAAAATGCATTTAGTAAGATCTTTAAAAGTATGTCGTTACATACAGTAAAATGATATTTCTCAACTCCCCGAGTGAAATACCACTTAAGGCAGAAGAGAATGAAATTATCCCACCCACTGACTTGGTCCAATCTGAGCATATGGATAGGGCCCAAAGCAGTAATTTCTTAGAAGTTTAAATTCAGTGTTTAAAAATTTGTGTCTGTTTTGTATCCAACCTCATAATGTATCTGAACGTGTTAATTTTTTTTTTTTTTTGGATACAGAGTCTCACTCTGTTGCCCAGGCTGGAGTACAGTGGCACAATCTTGGCTCACTGCAACTTCCACCTGCCAGGTTCAAGCGATTCCCTTGTTTCAGCCTCCTGAGTAACTGGGTTTACAGGTGCATGCCATCACATCCAGCTAATTTTGTATTTTTAGTACAGATGGGATTTTACCATGTTGACCAGCCTGGTCATGAACTCCTGACCTCAAGTGATCCACCCGCCTCAGCCTCCCAAAGTGCTGGGATTACAGGCGTGAGCCACTGAGCCTGGCCTGAACTTGTTAATGTTTAAGTTTGCTTTCTTTCCCCAAATCTTTGCTGAAATTATGCTTTCAGGGGATATGTCAGGTTTGTCAAATAGTTACCAATACCTCTTCACTGGGCCTTCTCTCCCTCGTTGATAGAGTGCCCTAATTTGAAAAGCTTGGAAGACAACTTTTTTAGAGTTTAAAATCTCAATTTATGAATTTATGAATATAATGTAAGAATCAAAGAATGATCCCAAATACAGTATTACAGTTTCACTCAGAAAAATTCCAATGACTGTTGGATCATATTTCTTGCAAAATGCTTATGGAGGTAGCAAAAACCCCCAAATTATTCATTTTGAGTGTTTATTATAGACATGTTTGAATCTATCTCTTCCATAAATTTATTACAAAATATGATATACCTATGTGACAGATAACTGCTAAGACTTTTTTTATAGACTTAGAATGCCATGCTGAAAGTCAAACTGTTTATGTATTTTATGATTATAGGAATAATTATGTATGTATAGTTGAGTCTGGAAAAGAATTAAATAGAATCTATTATCAGCATGATAGAGGCCAAAAAAACAAAGCAACATTCTGAATAATGCAAACACAGTAAACTTTTAACCTCCTGCCACCTTGATAAAACCTCTTAAATTATTAAATCAATATACCTACACAAAACTGACACACTGTCAGGATAATGGAAACTTTAGATTTTCTAAGTCGGATGCCAGATAAATAACTTTGCCTTGATGTAAAGAATTTTCCAACTTGTCCAATTCCTCTGGTTGCAAAGCTTGACCTCAGTAGCTGCTTGTGATTCAGAGAATTCTGAGGCAGTACAAGTAATGACACTTGGATAATGGGCAGCAATTTAAGAATGTCATGCTTCACAGAGCCAGCCCATCACAAGTAAAGCTGAGAAATGGTACCCTGTGGCCGGCCAGCCAAATTGAAACTGAAGTGGTAATTGATATCATGGGGTATCACTCTAATGGGATTGTCACCCATTGATCTGAAATATTCATTTTTTAATCATAGGCAAAGAATTGGACAACTTAAAATGACAGCTCTCTATTCTCAGGACTTGACACCCAGGCTACTGACATTGTTCTTTTCAGCTCTACAACTGTGACAGCATTTAATGCAATAGAAGCAATGAATGAAGTTACCCAGAAAAGGTCAAGTGAGAGGTTTCTTCTTGGTTCCTCTGTTATATTGCACAATCTGTTGAAACAATTCAGTCAGAAAACAGTTGGCTTGGAAAAGGCCAGAACAATAAATAGACTGATATTATGCAATAATTTTTTAAAAACTAAAATAGTGTTAGGTCAGTAACCAATCCATTTGAAAGAAATAGTTCCTTCTGGCTGCTGCGTTTTAAAAATGACACCAGACATCTTTGACACTAGATTTATTTCCACTCTGGTCAACAGTAGTGTTCTTTCATAGCCAGTGAATTTTAAGATAAGTTTTTTCTTTTCTTTCTTTCTCTTTTTTCGGTCCAGCTTCTTTCTTTATTTCTGCAGAAAAGGACACTCTGTAGCCCTTCGTGAAGTTATGTCTACAGTGGTGTTATTTCGGAGAGTTCCTTTGTTTCTCTCCCTAACCCCCCCCCCAGCTTTATTGAGGTATAATTGACAAGTAAAAATTATATATATTTAAGGTATACAATGTGTGAATTACATTATAAAACAATCGAACTAGTTAACATATCCATCACTTCACATTGTTTTTTTGGGGGGAGGGGGTGGTAAGAACAATTAAGATCTATCTCTTAGCAGATTTCAAGTATACAATAGAATTAACTACTGTCATCATGCTGTAATTAGCTCTCCATGACTTATGCATCCTACATAACAAACTTAGTACTCTTTGACCAACATGTCACACCACTCCCCTTTAATTTCCTGTGTTTCTTGTGATAAGTTAAATTGGGGTTTTGAACCTTAGCCTTTTGAATATGTTGGATTAATTAGTACCAAAATTATTTTTGTCTTTTTTGATATATAAGCAAAAGCTATAGTTCTTAAGCAGAGATAAGGAAGAATTTGGACATCTATGTAATATAAAATATTTTAAAAAGATTTTGCAAAAATTTTTTCTGCATTTACTTATACAAGTAGAACAGAATGCCAAAATTTCCATTTTGCTTTATTTTATAAATGAAAGTCATCTGACTTAATGACCAAATGGTATATAATGTATTATTGGAGAATGTTCTTTTGAACAGAAGACATTGGTTTTATACTTTTTTGCAGAGTTTGACTTGGGAAGGTAGGAAGTCACATGAGGGAAATGCAGGGCTGATGTCTAAAGAAAATAAATGTTAGTATGCACTTATTTTTTTAAATGTTTGTATAGTTTTCCTGTGTGCGTAGAAGAGAACATTTATCCCTTCTGCTATAGTTGTATATGATTACATAGAATTTTAACAGAGTTGTAAATATTGGCAGGCTTTCATTTGGGGTGATTTTCATTTATTTTTGTATTTGATACTTTCTGACTGCCTGGAGGCAGTAAAACGTTAGTCTACCACTGTTAGCTTTGAGTGAAGAATTCTAAAATTTTGGAGAGGTAAATGCATTTAAAACATTGTACATTACCATGTGAAACTACCATTTTATTAGTTACATTTAGGCATGGAAATGCAAAAACGAATCTGTAATTCTTCTGTCATATCATTTTTATGCCCCACAAATTCATAGCCAAATAGCCCCAATTTCATATGTTAAAAAAACTTCCATAAGGTCAATAATATAATATCTTGAAAAATATTTCAGTTTAAAAAGACTTTCAGTACTATAGGATCATTCAGAGGCTGATGCCTTGCCAAAAATATATCTGTTAAGTAGATTTACTGTTAAATGGTTAGAGATTTGTTGCTGCATGTTAGATGGCATTTTTCATGTAACATCTTTTGTGTATCCCCACAACAGGAGGTGTTAACTATAATTCATTCAACAAATATTTGTTGAGTCTGTGTGCCAGGCACCATTCCAAGGTCTGTTAACAGCCTTACTATCTGGAGGCAGAGTATATAACAATAGGACTTGTTGTAGCCTCAGGCCAAGATGAATTATGAAGAAAATATTAAACTTGGTCTTTTGGCATGGAATGATTTTTGATACAATACTTGCCAAGTTCTGTGACTTCCGTAATTGCAGAGTGGGTCTCCAGTTGAACAAGATTTTGCCTGAAGCATCATTGCCATGATTTTATTTCAGTTTTGTTTTCCTCCAAATAGAATTTGCTAAACTTTTAGAAGGAAAAGATGTTTCTTCTATAGACCTAATCAAGCTTGTTAAATAAAATTATTATCTGCCTGCTCTTAGGTTCCAAACTATTCAGATACTCCTAATGATCATCTCCCCATGAGTTATGAAATGGGCTTGGCTCTGATATATGATTATTAACTTTTGTGTAGCATTGTACACAGACTGATTTTATGTGACATGAAAGTTTTCACAAAAACTTTAAAATTATGTTCATTTTACTTGATGGGTGTGTGTTCAATTAAAAAAAAATAGTCCATGTGATTGTATATAAAATATAGTATCCTGTGATGATGAGGGTGTTAGATTTAGTTTCTTCCTTTATAAATGAAAATATCCTTCTCTCATAATTGTTATGAAAGCTAAATGAGAAATATATATAATTTATAAAGTTAAATTCAAGGATTTAATTAATTTGTAAAGTTGGCTTCAAATATAGAGTATTACTATAATCTAGTTGCCTCTAAACCTCAGTAGCCAGCTTTTTATTGTGACAGGGAACCTCTATTGAGGTTTGAGGTAATGAGGGTAAAAATGTAATTTCTCAGAGAAGAAGCTTGTGACGTTGATGACTTTAGGGATGTAAACAGGATTATGAGGGGGAAAAAAAAAGAAACACAAAAAACCTTGCCTCCAGAGAGATGAAAACTACCACATGGGCTCTAAGTCCGTGTCAAAATATTTTTTGGAGTTGGCCTGACTCTGGAGAGGTCAGTAAAATAACTAGTTGCACTGAGAGGCCAGATTGGCAAGTATGGGTTTCTAAATGATAAACTGCTTTTAGGCTAGAATCAGAGCTGAATCAGCCCTCCCACCACTTATTTGTTTCTAGGGTGTTTGAAAGGCCTAGTACTGAGTTCACGTGATACACGATTGTGGGCTGGGGAGAAGGGAAGTATATTAGATTCTAAGAAACTGTATTTCAGTGGTTATCCTTTTTTTTTTTAAATAAGTAATAATGAATATTTAGAACAAGAACAGTTTTGTAAGAAGGAAAATACCTAAAATCTGAACTGTAATCTTCTGTGTTTTTATGACATTATGTGAATCAAAGGGGTTTTCCTTTTAAGTAAAAGAAAAAGTCAGGAGTATGAAATCCTAAACTCTCTTCTTCCGCCTATAAAACCCTACAGGTTCACTTGTAGAAAAAAAAATTGCAAATGGGGAAGAAAAATGCTTTCAGCTAGAAAAGTTAGTTTTGAATTTGTGTACCCAGTAACAGAACATGTTGAATTTTTATTACATGCAAGAAGATGTCTATAAAGTAAAATCCTTTGTGTTGACATTAGATTTTTTATTGTATTGTAGTAACTTTATTCAAACTTTTTTTTGTTTAGCATTTAACAGAAGAGAAACCCGATGGCCTTATCAATGAAGCCACTAGGTATTCATATTTAAAGTATATATTGATCACTGGCTAATTGTAAAGAGAAAAATCACTAGGATGAAAACCAAAAACAAACTAAGAAATTTTAAAACATAGTCAAGGAAAATTTATTTTCTTTTTTCCCATAGTTGAATTATTGCTATCTATTTATAATGATCTGATAACTAAACTTTTACTTAAAATCATTTTTGTCGTAGCATAAAGTGAATGCTGAACACAGGAGTTCTGTAATTTTGAGGAACTCGGGAAATATTAACATTTAAAAAAATATTTTTATTATACAATTTCTTTGGGATTGAAGATATATATATATATATATATATATATAAAATTATTATTATTATTTTTGAGACAGAATCTCACTCTGTCACCCAGGCTGAAGTACAGCAGATCTTGGCTCACTGCAACCTCTGCCTCCCAGGTTCAAGCGATTCTCTTGCCTCAGCCTCCCAAGTAGCTGGGATTACAGGCACCCGCCGCCATGCCCAGCTAATTTTTGTATTTTTTTTTTTTTTCTTTTTTTTTTTTGGTAGAGATGAGGTTTCACCATGTTGGCCAGGCTGGTCTTGAACTCCTGACCTCAGGTGATCCACCCACCTCCACCTCCCAAAGTGCTGGGGTTATAGGCATGAATCCCCTGCACCCGGCCTAACTTAAGTATTTTTGTAACTTTTTTCCTTATGAAAATATGGTTATTATAGAAAATATAAATAAGGCAAATAGAAAATAGCAAAATTAGATTTGTGATGTACATACTATTGAAACCTGCTTTTTCAGTGAACTAAAGTTAATTTAGTTTTGAGAATTTAGTTGTATTCTTTGAGATAAAGCATAAGACCCTGAAAAATTAAGGAAAATTGAAAGAATTTCCAGTTTTACTATCCTGTTAAGAGAAAATAGAGCTTCTGATTATTATCATCTACTTTGTTATCTAGCATTCAGTCGACTGGATTCTTTACAAAGATAATATACAGTATATTTATAGTGATAAAGAAGAAATTTTTGCAATATCCTGATATATCTTCTGAAGTATAGCTTATTTTTTTTAAGAAATGGAGTCTTGCTATGTTGCCCAGGTCGGACTTGAACTCCTGGGCTTAAGGGATCCTCCTTCCTCAGCCTCCTAAGTAGCCGGGACTATAGGTATGGTCTGCCGTGCCCAGCTCTGAAGTATAGTTTTCAAAAAACCTGTTTAATACAGTTTTTAGTATTAAGTGAACTTATTCTATGTCTTTGAAAATTTTGGTAAATATTACAGTATTTTAGTATGTAAACTCTTCTTATTTTCACCATATTGGATATCTGAATTTTATGCTTTTCTTCACAAAGAAAATTATGAGTTTAAAATCATCCTTTTGATTGTAAACTTTTTGAGACTTATCTTTGTAGCACAAGAGTAGCAAGTAAGAGAACTTAGTAAATACTTTGCGAATGGGTAATGTGAAATCTGAACTTGTATAGTAATGAATGCAATTCATTCCCATTGAAAAATCAGCGGATTAGGAGTAAACTGAATCACTCCTATAGAGCACTATATAATTCTTAACTGATATATTGATCTACATGAGGTGTTCTTATTTATTTTTAATTTGTTAACATTTCTCTTTTGATGTATTAATCTGCATGTGTGTATATTATTTTAAATTTCTTAATATTTCTTTTTGTTTGCTATTTTAGGCAAGTTGCTTTGGCAGATATCATTCTCATCAATAAAACAGACTTGGTTCCAGAAGAAGATGTAAAGAAATTAAGAATGACAATTAGGTACAAAATGATAAGTGTGTTAAGTGCCTACAGATCCATACTGTATACACAGAATATTTTTTACTCTGATTATTGCCCTGTAGAAACTTAAGGTACAAGGTTGACCTGCTTCAAGAACCATTAGGGAATCACATATGTTGTTGATGGCTAATTGTTATATAAATAGTAATGCATAAAATTAGTCCCCAGTGCTTGCAGAATATAGTTTACAGTTAATAGACTGATATTCAGGGTCTTCTCACTCCATCCTTCTCCTGTCTTCTCTTTGACTCTTTCCTAATGTCAGTCTTCCCTAACTTTACCCAGGATAGTTAATTCACTTTCCCATGGATGCATCCTGCCAGTTCCTATCTTTACTCATAATGTATTCTCACTCTGCCAATCTCTGAATTCTTTCTTGTTTTTTTTTTAAAATAATTTATTCTATAGAGCCTATTCTGTCTCTCCCCCACGCCTATGTGAAGTCTTCCCTGACTCAAGTGGTCTCACTTTTCCCTGAACTCTCACTGACTTCATCTTCCTTAACTGTCAACCATGCCTTGTCTTCCAGCTTGGTTTTTTTTTTTTTTTTTTTTGAGACGGAGTCTTCGCTCTGTTGCCCAGGCTGGAGTGCAGTGGCACAATCTCAGCTCACTGCAAGCTCCGCCTTCCGGGTTTACGCCATTCTCCTGCCTCAGCCTCCCGAGTAGCTGGGACCACAGGTGCCCGCCACCACGCCTGGCTCGTTTTTTTTGTATTTTAGTAGAGACGGGGTTTCACCATGTTAGCCAGGATGGTCTCGATCTCCTGACCTCGTGATCTGCCCGTCTCGGCCTCCCAAAGTGCTGGGATTACAGGCGTGAGCCACCGCGCCCGGCCCCAGCTTGCTTTAATATCTTCTTTGTCCATAGCCAAGGCAGATCAGCATAGGACAATCAGGACAATATGAATGATGCTCAAATATGTGCTAACAGTCATTTTGCTGACTGTTCTGGAGACTCCCATTCCTTTTGAAAACAAAGATAGATTTTTCAAATGAGGTTATAGGTCAGGCACTTTGTTTTGAATTATTTTGTAAGACCTGAACTAACAAAAGCCCTATACAGAGAGACATTTGGTAGCTATTATTATTGGTTATCTTTAATGTGTACAATGCTTTGAGCGTGATGGCTCAAAATTACTATTCTTAGTATTTGTAAGTTCTACTGACATCAGATTTTGAATCTGTCATCTCAGTTCATATAGTACATATTATAAATTGAATCAATAAAGGTAAGGCTCATTAGATTATTTGCAATGATTAATGATTGTGGAAGAAAGAAATTCATAATTTTTCCACATATTTCATCTTATTTTAATAGTAAAGTCCTTAAACTTTACTATAAACAAAATGTCTCCATGTGAAGGGTAGGTATTGTTGCATCGTGTTGAAGATCACATGGACCTTGGAATCTGCTTGAGTTCTAATCCTTGGTCTGTTTCTCATTGTCTTAGGGAGCTTATTTACCTCTGAAAGCCTCCTCTGTAAAAGGCATAATGCCTATCATAAGTTTGTTTTGAGTATTACATGAGACAATGTTGGTAAACTTTGCACAGTGCTGACACATAGTAAGTGCTCTGTTAGCTATTATTATGTAATTTTTTTCTTAGCTTACATAGTAAGTTCAAGGTATAGTAAAAAAGGGAAAAAAGAAGATGGCTGATTTTGAAAAGGTGAAAGTGATGAATGAAGATTGCTTTTACATTTTTTGACACTGGTCTTCTAATCTTGTTTCTCTTCAAAAATCTTGTGCACCATTGTGATTGCTAAGAAGAACACAATCTATTTAGCAAACGTTTTTGGCATAAAAGGAATGATAATTATTACGTGGCTTTTATATCCTTTTAGAGACCTAAGCTAAATCTCTGACACTGACAACATTGACTATTACCCAGCTTGTTAACAGTACTAGAAATGAATTTGGAAGAAGCAATTTGATAAATTACACACCCTTTTGGCTTTTACCCTCCCTTTATATCAGACTTGTGACTGACTCAGAATCATATTTGGGGAGTTGAACAAAGGTAAACATGTTTGAGAGGGAATAGCCATCAGACTATAGAGTATATTCAAAAAAGAAGATTAAGAATTTTGTAAAGTAGTGGAGAGACTTGCCTCAGAATCATTATATGTGGGAAGCCTTACTCATGAGAACAAACTTGAACAAGTAGCAAGAATCTTGGGTAAGTAACCCTAAAGACAATTGAATTCATGATAGAGAATTGATGATTGATGATAGACGATGGAAAAGATAAATAGATGAGATATACAGTATGTTGAAAAGATTTTAACAGGTACTTTTTGGTGCCATACAAAGCCATATTCTATAGTATCAAAAGAGGGAGAACAGGCATAACAGGTAGAGAACCTAGTTAGGGAACTGAAGAGGTTATTCTATAAAGGAACCTGGGATGTGTGACTTAGAATTACTGTGAATACTAAGGACAGGCTGGGGGCAAAGCCATTTACAACCAGGTTTTTATTTTTAGTGTGTATATAGCCATTTCTACTATGTATGCCTGAGGAAAAAAGTGACCACCGTAAAAATTTTGAGTATCTACTCATTTTTAAGAACATTAGGATAACTGACTACTTATGAATGACTTTTTCTAAAGTGAAGCATCTTTTTATTAATCACAAAGTAGCCCTTAATCTGACAGTTGTGTGAAGTTTTGTATATATGTTTTATTGATGTGTGAGTGGAATATATGTGATTTATGCTTTGAAGGAAAATCATAATTATATTTTAAAGCAAGTTTTGTTTTTCTGTTTTTAATTTTTTTTGGTTCCAGATGTATTTGTGTATGCTTATTTCCTGTTTTAGAAATAATGTACTTTGTATACTTTTTTAAAAAGTTAATTTTTACTTTTAAACTTTGTCTTCCTCATCTATTATTTATTTCAGATCCATAAATGGACTAGGACAAATCTTAGAAACACAAAGATCAAGGTACTTTTAAAAAGCTATTCCTAATATACTAACAACAAATCATTTTAGTTATTAATAATAAACATTAAGTAATTGACAAATACGCTTGATTCTAATATAAGAAAGATGTAAGTGCATTTAAAAAGAATTGGATCCAAAATGTTGTTTGGAATGCTCTTAATAAGTTAGTTTGGCATATTTAGCTAGTACATTTGCCTGTCTTTAAAACTAAGATTACAAAGCCATGATAACACTATGTAAGTGTTTGCTTAAGGAGGAAGAAAAGACTTCTAAACACTCAAGAGGATAACTCAGTACAGAAATCTGAAGAAGTATATTGAGGAATCTTCTCTTAATTTGAAGTCTTTAAATGGCTTTTTAATATTTTAAAAGCCTTCTTAGTGTTTCATAGTTGCCAAAAAATACATGGAGTCTTTACCGTGAAGTTCCTGACAAATTCTTTTATTAAATTTTGATTTTCATTTTCTCTAGGTTCTGTTCCTAAAACATCTGTGAAGTGTGTTTCTGTAGATTAAACTCTGTTTTCCATTGAATGTTATCTTAATTTCAGAAAATTTCTGTGCAGGGTTTTTTTTGTTAAACTCATTTTTTTTTTTTTTTTTTTTTTTTGGTGAGAAAGGCTCAGCAGCTGATAGACTCAGCAACAGGCAGCCAGGAGCTCTGAGACTCACAGCTGGCAGTCTAGTTCAACTCAGTCTCTACTTGAGAGATTCTTTCTTTGGAAGTACAGTAGAGGCCTTAGGTGAGTGGCTTGTCTGCTATGGCAGAGATTAGAGGTGCTGACAGACTGCCATAAGTGTTAGGCAGCAGCAGCGGCAGCTGCTTATATGCATGTGAACAGCTGGGGAATTTGGTATGCATTCTCAGGAGCCACTCATCTGCTGGCAGAGGTAGCAGAAGAATGCTCTTAATGTAAGTCCTCTACAACCATACACCAAATGTGCTCCCCGCATTTCAAATTCCACTGTAGAAAGTCTCTGATAATCTCATTTATACCATGAGCCATTCCTCAGTATCTGTCTTCTTCCTGTTAGTGTTCTACAATTCCTTTCTCCTTAATTTTTCTCCTCTTTACAAAATGTCACACAGACAAGTGCATAATACTTAAACAAGCTTTTAAAAATAATGGTCATAAATAGCTTTGGTTCTGTCTTAATATTCGTATTTATAAACATTTTCAGTCAAGTCTCTTCTCTTGTTTTCATTTTGGAAATATCCATGTCCTGAATAAAAGTTTCATCTTGATTAGTTTATTATGTAACAATTTAGTTTGTTTGACATTTCTAACTTTTATTTCTAACATTTGCTTTATTATAGAACAGTAAACATGCAGTGATTGGTTTTTGTTACTTCAAGTGGATGAGTGAGCAAGTGACTAAAATCTTCTTCTGTGAATTCTTCTTCAGTGTATGGAGGTTGCCAATGCATCTGAGAATCTAGGGACTTTCTGAAATAGTACTTCCTTGCTATGAGGACTGAAGTTGGATTAGAATCCTTTTCAATGAAGATCAGATGTCCTGAGTAGAATTTTTATTATTGGGTCCTGAATCTTACATTAAATATTCTCTCAAATTCCTTGAGGCATAGCAACTTGAGCTTACCAGTTTAGAAATTGGAGATTTGGGCTGGGTGTGGTGGCTCAGCCTGTAATCCCAGCACTTTGGGAGGCTGAGGTGGGCAGATCATGAGGTCAGGAGATTGAGACCATCCTGGCTAACATGGTGAAACCCCATCTCTACTAAAAATACAAAAAAATTAGCCAGGCGAGGTGGTGGGCGCCTGTAGTCCCAGCTACTCGGGAGGCTGAGGCAGGAGAATGGCATGAACCCGGGAGGCGGAGCTTGCAGTGAGCTGAGATCGCACCACTGCACTCCAGCCTGGGCGACAGAGCGAGACTCTGTCTCAAACAAACAAACAAACAAAAAAACCTGGAGATTTGGTTAACAAAATAGTCAAAGTCACTCTTATAGAAGTTTTGTTTTATTGTTTTTTAAAAAATTTTACCATTGTGTAGCTGACAAGTACTGACAATAAACTGCTATAAGCATGTGTAGAAAAAGGCTCACCTTGAGTAGTTAAGAGTAAGGAAAAGGAATAGTGTGTAGCATCGTCTTATTGATAAGACTTAAGTTGATTTACTAGCAAATGGAAGTACTAGTGAACCACACAGATTTCAGATGTAGGAGTAAAAGATGAGAAGATGTGTCATTTTAATCTTCTCTAGACTTTTTCCTAATTTTTAGAAATGTAAGTGGACTGAACAGAGGAAAACCAAAACACAGTTGGTCAATAATAAGTTTAATTAATTTGACAAACTGCCTGCTATGCATTTCATAGCATTTTAAGGACTATTTAAGCAACGGATAAGGCAAAAACTGCCTTTAAGGAGATCAGTCATTGGGGGGAAACAGAGAAGCAAACAAACAAAAAGGCAACATATTAGATATTAATATAAATACAAGAATTTTAAAAGCACAGAGTTCTATAATAATAGGATAATAGAGGGAATGATTACTCAACTTTTCTTGAAAAAGAGTCAGGAAAATATTGACCGAGAAGGCAGTCATTGACCTAAGTCTTAAATAATGAGTAAGCCTTTTACAGATGGACTAGGGTGGGGACAACTTTCCAGGTATAAGGAAGATTTTGTATTCCAGGGACCTTCGAATATTTTAGAATGGCTAGAAAACTTGGTATTATGTAGCACAGAAAAAGTGGTATGACTGAAGAGATAGAGAACTTACCACAAAGGGTCTTGAATGCCATGCTACATAGTTTGGATTTTCTTCTGTAGGAAGCAAGGAGTTAGTGAAGGGTTTTAAAAGCAATATGACTCTAGGGAGGTAGATTCAATGTGGGGCTAATCTCTGAGGTATAGGAAATACAGGAAAGAGGAGCAATAGGTCAGGTAGTGGTGGAAGTAGGTTTGGAAAATGTGATTAGTTTTGTAAACATTTTTGAGTTCGAAGTGCCACTGGGGAAGGCATTTGGAAATTTATTTCTAGAGTTCAAGACTGAGCTATCATTGCAGTTTGCTCAGCTATTTACTGAGCTATCTACTGTCAATTTGGATAGTATCTACAATTTGCATTGTAGATACTGGATACTTGGATTGGCTGGTGCACCCTGTTTGTGAGACTCACTGGAGTTTGAAGAGATGATCATTGGAAAATATCCCTAAGTAGTAGCTGCAATTCCAGCCCCACCTTGGAGAGCCAAAATGCTCTTTGTTTTCACTCTCCTGTCCTTGGTCTTAAGCTACTTAAGCAGCTTTTAGACATAGGGAAAATTAAAAGCATCTCTTTTAGGAAAAACATTAGGTACTTCTGGAATAGAGAGTTCAAGAAATTAGGGGAAAAATGAACTTTTGAAGCTTTTTCTTTCCCTTTTTTGTTTACTTCATTCTTTTACTCAGTTTTAAAATGCTGGTAATGGTTTTTTGTTTTTTGTTTTTTTTGTGTGTGTGTGTGGCCATTTTAGTGCTTTGGAAAAGATCTGATGGTTTTATCTCCAAAGGAGGAAATTAATTTGATGCCATGGAAATTAGTTTTCTAGTCGTATGCCTTGAATGAGTGAAGAATTTCTTTTTCATGGTGGTACTAAATTTGGGGAAAGCTATAGAAACTTTCATCTGGAAGCTTACACTTTCCTTCTTTATTGAAAATTTGGTGAGAGACTTGGATATTTTATTATTTTCTGTAAAAGAGTGTAATTTGTTGTACAGATCTAATATTGATCCTTTTTTTGGAAGTATGGAAAGAATCTGAGTATAAAGCAGAATTACCTCTGGATGACATGTATTCTCAAGGACACTGTCACAGTGAAACAATTTATTTAGAAGCTTGTGTTTCCAAATTGTTGAATTTGATATTCACAAAATTGGCATGTGTAAACTTTATTAAACTTTAAGCTGTTTCTTAAGGTGAAGATGACAAACTTGGAGGGAAACTCCATTCATTTGGTTTATTTTTATTTTTTTATCTTTTTGAGACAGAATCTCACTCTGGTGTGAGACAGAATCTCACTCTGTCCCCCAAGATGGAATGTGGTGGTGCGATCTCGGCTCACTGAAACCTCTGCCTCCTGGGTTCAAGCAATTCTCCTGCTTCACCCTCCCTGTAGCTGGGATTACAGGGGTGCGCCACCACACCCAGCTAATTTTTCTATTTTTAGTAGAGATGGGATTTCGCCACATTGGCCAGGCTGGTGTCAAACTCCTGGCCTCAAAGTGATCTGCCCACCTTGGCCTCCCAAAGTGCTGGGATTACAGGCATGAGCCACTGTGCCCCTCATTTGTGACCTGTCAATATAAATATGCTCAGTAGTGGGGGGAGGGGTGGGGGGTGAAAAAGGAAATATGTTTAATATTAAGACTTTGGCCTCTTAGTGTAAACTGATATTCAAAAATTTCTTTATAGAACATTTGCTTCTTTGCTTGATCATTTTTCTAATTCTGTACATCTGAAATGCCCAGAATTTGAGTTGTTGTTATAGTCTATTAACATAGAACTTTGGAGTAATAAGATGGGAATTTGTCTGCCTTTTGCCAAGACAAGCATTCATAATCTAACACAGTATTGTTGCCATGAGTATGAGTATGTGATAGACTGTTGAGAATAAACGAAGCAGGCACAGTTGGTCAGTCCTAAGATAAAGGAGATGTTTTTTCTTATATGTTTGTGCATTTAAAAAAAAAAAAATCTTGAATCTGACCAATGATTTTTTTTTTCCTTGTAAGAAAATTTAACAAATGTTTGGTAAGCTTCTGGAATCTAAATTTGAAATTATACATTTGTCATTTTCTTTAAACATTTCTTCACCTTAACTTTGATTATGGAGAAATCACTATCCTCTGCTGTATTTTTTTTTTTTTTCTGTGCCAGGCTGGAGTGCAGTGGTGCAATCTTGGCTCACTGCAACCTCCGCCTCCGGGGTTCAAGTGATTCTCCTGCCTCAGCCTCCCAAGTAGCTGGGACTATAGGCACGTGCCACCACACCCAGCTAATTTTCGTGTTTTTGGTAGAGACACGGTTTCACCACGTTGGCCACGGCCAGGATGGTCTTGATCTCTTGACCTTGTGATCCGCCTGCCTCAGCCTCCCGCAGTGCTGGGATTACAGGCATGAGCCACCGCGCCCGGCCTGTCCTCTGCTGTTTTCTGAGCTTATGTTAAAATTATAACTCAATCACCAGTCTTTATAAATTTGCTTTTTTATATTTAAACCAAACCTAATGTTAATTGTGATGTTATTCTCACCTGATTTGAATCATTGGATTCAATTAAATAAGTTTAATTATCATTAAATAATTCTAAGAGAAATAATGTCTATTCGGATGTCGGGAATTTTCTTTCTACATGCAGCCCCATTCTGAATGAATGAAATCAAATCATGTGAAGATCAGGGTCCTAGAGTAACTTAATATTTTGTACATTGGTTATTTGACTTCTCGTTTTTATATTACATGTTATATCGGGGAGGGGGAATAAAAGAAATACAAAAATTGCAGAGGTATTTGGAATGTACCTATTTGTTAATTCTATTTGTCATTTCTTTTGTTTCATCTTTTGAGTAATAAACTGCTTGGAAAAGTTTCTGTTCTTTAGCTGATTTTTTTTTAGCTATAAAAATGTATTTGGAAAGCTCATAAATTTCAGGATTGAAAAGATAATTGAAAGTTAAAAAAAAAAGCTAATTCATTGAAGTAATAACCAAATAATTTTCAATCTTGATTCAACTGTGATTCAAATCTTATACCATTTGCCCACTTCTATGAATTTTATGTATAAAATTTTTTAAGAGTCAGAGATTTTTTTTCTTGATTAATTGGATGTATCTTCACAGAATTTCCAACTGCTCATGTTAGTTTTCTTCCTTTTAGAGTTGATCTCTCTAATGTATTAGATCTTCATGCCTTTGATAGTCTCTCTGGAATAAGGTATGTTTTGTATAATTTGCTTACTTTTATTGTTATGTACCTTTTTTTCCCATAGTTAACGGGAATGATTTGCACAATTGCATCCTTGATTTAAGCTTCCTGCCATTCTTTTGGCGTACAAGACCATTCTTAATGAGATGTGTTCTTGGAAGTTTTACTAATTGGTTGTTTGGAAATCATATTGCATTTCCCTGTAGAAATTATAGTGTAAATGATAGTTAACTTTAGAGGCTAATCGTTAACACTTCTACACTAAACACTATGTATAACACTCTTTCTATGAGAAAATGCATGAAATACATAGAAAAGTTTAGCTTAGGGTTCTCACACAAATAACTCTCTTCACTTTAATAATGGATTAGTTTTCTGCCTTCTGTGGGGAATCTTTTTGGTAAGGGAGAGAAGAAAGATTAGTTATTCTTGTGCATCAGTATCTTTTTCTTTTTTTATTATAGTCTGAACATCTAACATGAGATCTACCCTCTTAACAATTTTTTAAGTGTACAATACAGTATCGCTAACTATGGGCATGAGGATGTGCAGCAGATCTCTGGAACGTTTCACTTTTTATAACTGAAGCTGTATACCCCTTGAATAGCAGCTTCCCATTTCCCTATCTTTGTAGCCCCTGGCATCCACAATTCTACACTCTTTCTGTGGGGTTGACTATTTTAATTACCTGACACAAGTGGAATCATGCATTATTTGTCTTTCTGTGACTGGTTTATTTCACGTAGCATAAAGTCATCAAGGTTCATCCATGTTTTTGCATATGGCAAGGTTTCCTTTTTAAGGCTGAGTAATATTCCATTTTCTACATATACCACATTTACTTTATCCCTTTTTCTGTTAGTGGACATTTAACTTGTTCTCACAGCTTGGCTATTGCAAATAATGCTGCAATGAATATCTCCTAAGTCTCATGTATGTCCATATAAGATCATGAACATGGACATCTCTCTGGGCAGTTTGAATTGGTGGGGCAGGTTTGCTTAAGGGTAGGCATGGCGGGTGGCTCTATACTTGAGATTTCTAATTCTCATTCCTATATGTATTTCTTTTCTTTTTTATTTATTTTTTTTTTGAGATGGGGTTCTCTGTCACCCAGGCTGGAGTGCAGCGGCACAAACATAGCTTACTGCAGCCTCAACCTCCTGGGCTCAAGCAATCCTCCCATCTCAGCCTCCTGAGTAGCTGGGACAACAGGCATGTGTCACTATGCTTGACTGTTTTTCTTTTTAATTTTCTGTAAGCATGGGATCTTGCTATATTGCCTAGGCTGGTCTCAAACTCCTGGGCTCAAGTGGTCCTCCTGCCTCAGCCTCCCAAAGTGCTGGGATTACATGTGTGGGCCATCACACCCAGCCTTATATATATATTTCTAATTTTGCCTTAGCCATGCCCTTAAAAGCTAATTCTATTTTCAACTAGTTTTTTTTTTTTTTTCCACCTTCAGTCTGTAGTATTGTTCACATTTTGAAAACAATACCCACAGTAACCTGTGAGGTAGGACACGATAGTGTTTTATTGGACCCCTTTTACTTTATAAATTGGAAAAATTAAATTTGCATGTAGTTTGTAGAAAAAAAAAAAGAAAGAAAGAAAAAGAAATTGATTGAGATTATTTCAGCAACCAGAAGTCTGGGATAGGCAGTGCAGTTATTCCTCCTTCTCAGTTTGGAAACTGAAGCTCAGAGAGTAAACTTGTCAGTGACAGTGTTATTCAAGAAGTTGTCTTCAGTTGAGAGAGATGTTTTTCACCTGTAGCTCTGGTATTGGAGCAGTACCTTTTTAGACTAAACAAATTATGGCTAAAATTATAAAGATATTTTCGGGGTACCTGGAAAAAATCAGCATTTTGCTTTTCTAGTTCCTGTTAGTAGGAAGGCAGAAAAGTTTGGTGTACCTGAATTACATGTGAGTTATTTCTATTTTTCTAAAAATTCTTATAAATTATGTAAGGTAAAAATGACCACTTGTTGTTTTATGGTAAATATAGTTATATCCTTTCAAGCCACTGCTGTACAAAGTTGTGAAATCGCCCTGAGCTTTTTTCCCTCATGTCAGCTTCAGGTGTCCAGTATCACTTATGCTTGATAATGATTGTATGAAAATCATTCAGAATTATGCTGTTTTTTCATATGAAACTTTTGTTTTACTAATTTTGAAATGACTGTTCTTCCATTAAACTAATACAGCCCTAAGCATAAATTTGGCTTGTTCATTTAAAAATGGTCCTTTTTTCCCATCTTAGTTCTGGCTTTACTAGGGAGATGGATTGGCTGAGGTTGTCATCTAATTCTGGGAGCTTAAGAGCCTTTGTCTTTTGCTACCCATTTCTGAAATAACCAGAAGACTAGTCCATCCTAACTTTTCTCTTGATGATCCTTTTCTTCTTTTTACTTCAAGGCTGCAGCCCTTCATTTGGCTATCAGTGCTCTTTCACTAGTTGGCCATGATCCCTTTCATCCTCCACATCTGGATTAGAACTACTAATTTGATGCTGTGGGCAGTTTTGATAGTTACAGATCCTGTGATACATTTAAATATGTTTACGAGGGGAAAAAATGAAACAATACTGCATGAAATTTGCCTTTCTTTTTTTTTTTTTTTTCCCTTGGAGACAGAGTCTGGGTCTATTGCCCAGGTTAGAGTGCAGTGGTGCAACGTCAGCACACTGTACCCTCTGCCTCCTGGGCTTAAACCATCTTCCCACCTCAGACTCCTGAGTAGCTGGGACTATAGGCACGCACTGCCACGCCTGGCTAATTTTTTACTTTGGTAGAGAATGGGGTTTTGCCATGTTGCTGAAGCTGATCTTAAACTCCCGGGCTCAAGTGATCTGCCCACATCAGCCTCCCAAAGTAACGGGATTATAGGCATGAGCCACCACACTTGGCCTTTTCTTTTTTTTATATTTATTTAATTATTTTATTTTATTGAGACAGAGTCTCACTCTTGACACCTGGGCTGGAGTGCAGTGGCTGTCATGGCTCTCTGCAGTCCTGAACTCCTGGACTCAAGTGATCCTCCCATCAGCCTCCTGAGTAGCTGGGACTACAGGCTTGCACCACCATGCCTGGCTACTTTTTTTATTTTTACTTTTTTGTAGAGACAGGCTCTCGCTATGTTGCTCAGGCTCATCTTGAACTCCTGGCCTCAAGTGTTCCTCCTACTTGGCCTCTCAAAGTGCTGGGATTATAAGCCTGAGCCACTGAACCCAGCACAATTTGCCTTTCTTAAACTAATTTATCTCTGTTCGGTCCAAGAGCTTGCAAGTTGGTTGTCATTTAATATGTTAAACGCTGAAATATTTTTTAGTTGAAATTTTATTTTTTCCCTTTACATATTGTATCTTTTAGCGCTTTATTTCACTAATAAGAATTAGAGTATGAAATAATTTCCCACCTTGATATTCAGTATATCAATTTTTGTTTTTCCTTTCTACTTCTATCTTTTGCTGTAATTTGCTGTAATACAGGTGCTTTCATTAAGGCATCCAGTTCTTTATATCATTCCATATTTTTACTTGGGAGAAATAGAAATGTTGCTAATTCCATCTTACTGACTATACCTAAATTATTGTTTCTTATAGAACATAATGGGTTAAATATACAAAACGCTAAACTGTTTGAGATTTTTTACATTTTATGTGTACAGAATTTACATTTTATGTGTGCAGAGACGCAAATTGTTATAAGATTACAAGTTAATGTGTAAGATGATTTCAGATTCGTGAATTTCAGGTTGTGGTAGCTTATGCTTATCCACTAGATTAGTCTTTTAAAAATGTTTATGATAGGGAAAAAATAGAGGGCATGAAATTCTGAGACTTACTGGGAACTAAACTTAAGATGCTCGTTGTTAGAATTTTTTTTTTTTTTTTTTTGCTGCATATGAAGTTTTAGGCAGTCATTGTCCAATAACATTAAATACTGAACATATGGGAAAAGCATATGATTTTTCAAAATGTTTTTCTAAAGTAATCTCATTCTACACTTAAGAGCAGTTATAATGCTTTAGTGACACTTGAAGTAGCTATTTAATGTGATCTCACCACTATGGAGAAGGCCATTGCATGACTTTTTTGTGTGTGCTTAGCTGCTAAACAGGAGAATCTTTTCCTGAGCAACCAGCTGGGAAGGATTTAATTTGACATTCTCCCTACTAGGACCCCCCAAAGAGACTCATTCCCTCCAATAGTTCCTATAAGTTCTTTCTCTTTCCTAAACTTGCTGTTACTAATTTACCCCTCACTGTTCTTCAAGGCAAAACATCTGCAAGGTTTTAAGTCCTTTCTCCCTCCTGTCCTGTCCCCATCAGTGTTGAAATGTATGCTACAGTTGTTATGGTTGTAATTTGTTATGCCATATTGATCTTCTTGTGCTTTTCATATCAGAACAATGCATTTTTAACATTCTGACTTTCTTTTTCTCTCAATTGGTAACTGACTATATAGAAAATTTATGGATACTATTTGTTTTTTAAATAAGTTCAGGGGAAAACATTGATAAAGGAAAATTTATCCTTTAACTTTCTTTAGGTGCCAGCATTATTTGCACATTAGGAAGCAGGAGAAAATTAAGGAACTCTGAGCAACACTAGAATGGTTATATATATATATTTAAGCTTGTATTAAACCTGTTGGAATGGTAAAGAAATCTACTGACGTATTTAACCACACAAAATAGTGTTGCTAAAAGATTAATTTTTTCTTTATTGTGTGCATATGTATATATATGAATGTGTGTTTTTTTAAAAGAAATTTTTAAAAAACTTAATCTTCCAGCTTTTCTCTATTGGAATTTGTGAACAACATGTAAAATTGGAATTACAATAGTAAAATAGTCAGTTATGGAAAGTCACTTCATTATCCTTGTGTCACTAAATAACATATAAAGTTAAATCAGAAGTGTATTCATCTCTGAATTTCTAATCAGTGGTTTTTAGTTTGCAGAAAAAACTTCAGCATGTGCCAGGAACACAACCTCACCTTGATCAGGTAAAAAAAAAAAAAAAAAAAATCTAAATCCAAAATTCCTAATGAATGTTTTTAAAGGACCTCTTTAACTAAATTGGCTATGTTTAGGACTATTTTATTGTAAACTTTTTCTAAAATGGTGTTTTTGAACTATGTTGATAATTTTTGGACTCTTAAATGCTTTTGACATAGTCTAATTCAATTTCTTAACACATAATAGGAATTCATCAAACCAGATTTGTTTTAGAATCTGAGGAAATCATGCTTTCTAGCCTTTCCATTCTGTAGATTACTTAGCATATTGATTAGTTCTGATAGGGATTACTCCTTAAAAGCAGCCTGGGGGTTCTATAGGCAGTCTGTTTTTAAGTATGTTGAATTGTTTAAGGAAAGGTCTGATATAAGCATGGCTTATTTAAATAAAAATTGACTTTGAGTTTCACCTTCAGGTGAAACCAGCTGGGCACTGTAAATTTGAACTTCTGAAGATGTTTTTAATGCTCTAAAATTCTAATCCCTAAGGTAAATATCTAAGATACTAGGAACAAATTAAATATAATTTTACCGTACTTGTGTTTCTGTTAAGCAGATCGTAGATCGTAGAGCTTTAGGATAACTTCTTTGTTCCACTTAAAACCCTGAGGGGTGGAGTGGGGGATGTGTAAGTGAGCAGTGTGCCTAGTCTTCCTTCCTCTGTCTCCAAGTGATCACTCAGTTTTTGAATTGCTGTTGGTTGTAATAGGGCCAAGATAACAGCTACTTGCATTTGTATTCATTTTGGTTCATATTTATGAGCAGGTTTACTACTATGTTTGTGACACCTTTCCCTGTGAAACTTTTGTTAATAGGATATTCCTCTTCTCTTATCTTTAAAATGAATAAATGAGAGAAATACAAGTCCTTGGAGATAGAATTTATGGTTAAAAAAAACAAACCCAATTCTTTATGATAGTCGATATCTGTCATACAGATGAACATGAAGCACATTTGAGCTTCTGGGTAGAGAACATGATGCCACGAATCATAGGGATGAAAAGATGAAGAAAATGCAGTACTCACTTACCATGAACATTTGGAGCGGCCAATGTCTCCACCCGTAGAATCTCGAATGAACCCCTATTGTGGCAGTTATGATGCCTTGTACTTTGGTTGAAATGCTTTTGCCTTGCATTAGTCTATAAATTCCTTAAATGTAAAATCTTTATTGCTTAGGACAGGGCTTGGTGGATACTCAGTGAATATTTGTTAAAAGAATGAAAAGCTGTGGTTCTCAAATGGGGTGTAAGTCAGAATCACATGTGGAGCTTTTTAAAAAAAATACGATAACTCAGTAGTTCTCACCCCTCAATCTCCAGGATTGGGACTTGGGTATGTGTATATTAATGTATATTTTTAACGTTTTATTATGGAAGATTTCAAATATATAAAAGAGTAAACAGAATAGTAAAGTAAACCCCTTCTGTGCATCACCCAGTTTAAATGGCATCAACATTTAGCTGGTTTTATTTCACCTATCCTCCCAACATTTCTTTTGCCTGGAGTATTTAAAAAAACAAATTTTTTTAATAGAAAATTTCAAACGTGCATAAGAGTAGAATAGTATAATGAGCCTGTATGTACCTGTTGCCCTTGCTGGAGTGTATGAAAGCAAATTCCAGACATTATGTCATTTTACTACTAAATAGGGCATGTCTATATTTTTGAAGCCTCTGTAGGAGATTCTGATGCACTGTCCTGCTTTAGATAATATAAACATAGGGAAAAATAGTATCACAGGCAAAGGGCTATGGGATTCAGAGGCATGAACAATTTCATTTGGTTCAGTGGATCTGAGGTGTAAGGGAGAAAATGTATCTTTTCCTCGCCTATCACTAGATTAATGGCTGAGATCTCTCTAACAGAAGACCAACTATCAAGAGAAATTTCAACATACCAATTTAGTAAGTTTTACTTGACACAGGAGCCTTCATAAAACATACATATGTATGTTTTATGCTAGTTACGATATGGAAGAGGATAGTAATGGAGAAGCATAATTAGATAAAACAGTATGATCTAATAATAATAAACTGGGAAGAACTTAGCAAGGCCTATTTGCTCAGATTTTTCTCTGTGACCCTTCACATTCAGACTTAAGGATGTTCTTTTCCTCTGTGTATAGAGAGGGCACCTCTTAAATGAGGGTCTTATAACCTGCATCAGCGGAAGGTCAGAAAATCTTTCCTAGGTTTTATGACCTGCTTCAGGAGAGAAGGTGAGAGTGACCTTCCTGGTTCTGCCATTTTCTCAAATACTGAGGTGCCATATTTTGGGATAGCATGTCCTGAACCCCATCAAATGCTCCATGAAGATAGTTTTTTGTTTGTTTGTTTTGGTTTGGTTTATTTCTTTGCATACAGTAAAGCATGCAAATGTGTAATTTTAGTGTACAATTCAATGTTTGGATTTTTTTTTTTTTTTTTTAAAGACATAGTCTCACTCGAGCTGGAGTCTCACCCAGGCTGGAGTGCAGTGGTGTGACCTTGGCTCGCTGCAACCTCCTCCTTCTAGGTTCAAGCAATTCTTGTGCCTCAGCCTCCCGAGTAGCTGGGATTACAGGCATGCACCAACCACGCCCAGCTAATTTTTTTTTTTTTTTTTTTAGTAGAGATGGGGTTTCACCATGTTGGCCAAGCTGGTCTCAAACTCCTGGCTTCAGGTGATCCACCCACTTCGGCCTCCCAAAGGGCTAGGATTACAGGTGTGAGCCACTGTGCCTGGCCTCAATGTATTTTTAAGTATATTTGTACCTATATATCTGTCTATATGCACATTTAAACACATATCCTTCTAACTCCCACTCAAATCAAGATATAAAAGATATCCAAAATTATAAAGAGTTCTTTTTTGCCCCTTCCCAGTCAAAGAAGCGGGGGTAAGTGCTAGTCTGACTTACTTAACAGAAAATAGCCTTGACCTGGTAGGATTTTTTTTGACAGGAAGAAGTAAGGAAAAGAGCAATATGGATGTTTAAAAATGTGAAGGTGAGAATCTTATAGATGAGTAGGTCTCTGGTACAGAAGTCTTAGTGGAGAGTTGGTACTGGAATCCCGGTCTAAGGTATTAGGTTTTAATTTGCTAGACAAAGAGAACTCAAGCTCTGCTGTCTAGGAGTGTTATATAAGCTAGATTGGACTTTAGAGTTAGGAGACCATGTGGGAAGATACTGTGTGATGAAGGCCTGAAACATGTTGTTTACAGTGAGACTAGAAATGGGATAAATCCAGAGCTGTTTCACTGGTAGACTTGCCTGAATATCCTGTCTGACTGAGGATGGATCAGAAAGAAACGAAGCGGTGATGGGAAACAAGCCTAGATTGACTAGAGAAACCTAGAAATAGAAAAATTGGGAAGGCAAAGTGATTTGGATGATAATGCCATATATTCAGTTGTCCCTGGTGGCCAGATATTATAGTATAGATATTATACAGGCAAAGAAGAACAGAGGGCTAGAGTGTGAAGGTACAGATTTTGAGTTTAAGCACATTAGGGGGCTTAGTGTTCTGGATGAAGAAAACATATAGAAGTTATTGCATATTAGGTATTATTGTTTGCAAAAGAGTAGAAAATGGAGAAATAACCCAATGGGTTAAAGAAGAAACAGACTAAATAAACAAACCTGAGTAAATTGTTCTTAAATTTTATTTTAGAGACAATTCCTTATTTTGCTTTAGTTTTCTGAATTATTGCCTCACTTTTGTGTTTCTTTCTGTGTCCGTATACATGGAAAAAGGAATGAATTTTAGATTCAAAACAAAAACTGGAAAAAAAAGTCTGCAATGGGTAATACCTGGACATAGTATGTATGTGTTATTAAGGCTCTATCCCTGATTTTTTAATGCAGTTATTTATTTTTCATGGATTCTTTGTTTATTCCCCATAAGGAACACCTACCTGGGTTTGGAGAGTGGGAAGGTGGATGAGAAAACCCAAGTGACAAATAATGTTTAGTTTATTATTAGAACCAACTATGAGTTGTGACCCTTATCTTCTGCACTGAGAATTATAGATTTTTTTTTAAATTTTTCACATTAGAAATGTGAAAATAGTTTATTGGTGTAGGAAAACATCTAGTTCCAAAATATAGATCACCCTTCTTGAGCCCCATGATGCATTATCTTAATTTTTAAAGCCTTTTTTGCCTCATACTGGAGTTTATTGTACCTCTTAAAAATAGTAAGTCACATACTTAACCTGACAAAAGCGAAAATCATTATAAAAATCTTTAGGCTGGGTGTGGTGGCTCATACTTGTAATCCTAGCACTTTGACAGGCCAAGGTGGGTGGATGGCTTAAAAACCCAGGAGTTGTAGACCAGCTTGGGCAACATAGTGAAACCCCTTTTCTACAAGAAATACAAAAAATTAGCCAGGCATGGTGGCATGTACCTGTAATCCCAGCTACTCAAGAGGCTGAAGTGGGAGGATTGCTTTAGCCTGGGAGTTCAAAGCTGCAGTGAGCCATGATCATGCCACTGTACTCCAGCCTGGGCAACAGAGTGAGACCCCATCTCAAAAAAAAAATTATTAAATTAAAATCTTTAACAATAAATCTATTTTGAGTCATATTTTGAGACATTCTTAATATAGTTTTCCAACTTGCATTAAAATACATTTTAAACATTTTTGAAGACTAAATTTCTTTTTTTTAAACTGACAGTTAATGTTTCATTCGACAACCTTTTGCTGTATATTTTTATGTGGACTTTTAGTTGTTGTAGTGATTTCTTTAATGAAGAAAGAAAATAATTGTCATTTAAAAATGCATATTATTATTACCTTAAGCTATAAAAATAATTTAAAAATAGAGTATGTTTATTAAGATTTAAAAATAAGTATAGCCATGCACTGCATAACAGCGTTTTAGTCAGACTGCATAAGAATAAGATGGAGCTGAAAAATTCCTGTCACACAAATACTTACCATTGTGTTATTATTTCCATACACTTCTCAGTACAGTAAAATGTATGCTGTACAGGTTTG